TTAAAAGCAAAATATGTATATTTGTTGAGTGTCCATCCTCATTCTTCACGAAAGTATATTTTTCACTATTAATACAATAATCATACAATGTGAACAACTGTTTCATGCATGCTTTATTATCTGTGCATAGAAGAAAACAATAGTTATTTATATACTAACATTAAAATGTATTCTATTTTGTTATATATGACTAAATTCTGCTATTATAAATAGCATCTTTAAAAATCATAAAACCACAGCTGGGTCTATTATAGGACATTAATTTCACGAGTCTTTGATTCTACCTTGTGTTTATTCTAAGTTCTCTGTCCTTTAATAATGTAAAAACTTGTGCCCACCATGTGTATGAAGTTTGTCACTGGGGGATTTTGCTAGGTAGCACAGGCAGACCTAATCAGATCACATACTATTGTGAATATGAGAAAGAGTGTCCATAAAAATGCTCATAGCATCCCGTGAATTACGAACAGTTAAAAATGATTGGAATGGAGATAGTACAATAAAGAGAAAGAAGCTGAAGAAGTGGATGAGGGCATGGCTGGAGAGATGCTCAGTGGTGAAGAGCACTGGCCCAGGCTCAGTTCCCAGTACTCACATAGCACCTAACAACTGTCCATAACTCCAGTTCCAGGAGATTCAACATCTTCTTCTGATCTCTGTGGGCACTGTACACATGTGGTACACTTACATACATACAGGCAAACACTCCTACACACAAAATAAAAATAAATATAACCAAAATTTTTTTTAAGTAGACAGGGGTCATACCTCTTAGAATCTTGACTGGATGTCATTATGTTTCATTATTCTCAGAGTAGTGGGAAGCTACCAAAATGATCCAGATTGCATTTGCGAAGTCCATTTAGGTGCAGTGTGCAGAAAAGAATGATTCAGAAAGACAATTTCAGAGGAAGGCACGGGAATGTACAAAGATGCTAGTTTTGATGGACTCTTGGGCAATGCAGCGATGTATAGATGGAGGACAGTGGACGGAATCTGTATATAGTCAGCAGAATTGACAGTGTTTGGTGGAGGCTGGATGTGCAGGTTTAGGAAGAGGGAGAAATCCAAGATTGCTCCTAGGCTCCTGGCTAAATCATGAGTTATTTTATAGGATACAGAGATGTTTACGAGCGCTGTAGTTTTCTGTAACAGAGGGATTAGAAGACTGTTAGTTCACTTTGGAACTTGAAATCTTCCAAAAGGTTTGAAAGAGTCAAGGTGAAACAGATGACATACGTACAACTGAGTATGCAACCTAGAGAGAAGTCTCACCTGGAGAGAAGAATTTGTAGTTCATGGGGGCATAGATAATAACTACACCTTGCTATTAATCTCTAATAAGATGCTGATAGCAGGAGACAGAGTGACAGCTTGGGGATTCTATGTCATTGTTTTAAAAAATGGGAGTACTTTTCTCATGGCACAGAAAACTTTTGTCCATGAAGCTTGAAGAAAGAGGAAACAGAGATGTCATGCAAGCCAAAGGAAAGGAACTCAGTGCCAAAGGGAAGGGTCATCCTTGCTGAAAAGCAAAATACGTAGATTTTTTTATCCTTAGAGAGAAAAGCTGACAGACTGAAGATGTGATAACTACATAAGGAGAAGAAAAATAAAAAGCTCTTCCAAGTGCTTTGGCTGTGAAATAAAGAAGAGAAGTAGGGCCATAAGCCATTAAAGAAGGTTGTGGTTTACAAAGGAGACTCTTCTTCTCCCTCAAGAAAGGAGAAACTGAGCAACTTTGTGCTGATGGGAAGAGGCTAATGAATGGGAACACTAAGGCCAAGAGAAAGGAGAAGTAAGTTATTCCTAAAGCATTCTGGGAAAGCAGGTCTCCAGAATACTGGTGGAGGGGTTTAAATTTCCCCACCGTAACAGTAAAGAGGAGAAGAAGGTCCCAACATAGAAAGCTCTACCAGTCTGGGTAGGAAGGATTGTTTGGTACTATCTTTTCATGAAATAAGAAGTGGGGTCTGGGGCTAGAGAGATGGCTCAGCAGTTAAGAGCACTGACTGCTCTTGCAGAGGACCCAGGTTCGAGTCCCAGCACACACGGTGGCTAACAACCATCTGTAACTCCAGTCCAGGAGAATCCGACACCTTCTTCTGACCTCCGAGGGCATTGCACAACACGGGTGTGCTTACACACATGCAGGCAATACACTCATACATATAAAATAAAAATAATAAATAAAATAAAATATAATAAAAGAAATGGGGTCATCAGAGACTGGAGAGATGATTCAGCAGTCAAGAGCACTGGCTGCTCTTTCAAAGGACTCGGGGTCCATTCCCAGCACCCACATGGTGGCTAACAATCGTCCATAGCTCCAGTTCCTGGGAAATCCAGTGCTCTCTTCTGACCTCCCCAGGTGCTTCACAACACAGGTGCACTTACATATATGCAGGCAATACACTCATGCATATAAAATAATTAATAATAATAATAAAAGAAACGTAGTTATCAACTTGCAATGCAAAGGGAAGGAAGAAGAGGGCTGAAAATTAGAGGGCAGTAGGGAATGTTTGAAACTACCTTTGCAGGGATAACAGATATATCTAAATAGAAGCACACAGGACTGTGCTCAGGACCATCGCAGTTAGTAACCATGCATTTAGAATGGTGTCCATCAGCCAAGGGGTGTTATGTGCCCTCAACAGGGCCCAGCAGGTCAGGCACAAAGAAACTTGTAGTTTTATATACTAATGGTAATCTTTTGTCTTTTAAAAATTTTGTTTAGAACAGCAGACCTCAGTCTTATCTAAAGGAATATTGACAACTGATTGCTGCTAGATGAGGAACAGCTGACCTTCCTAAAACAAAGACCTCTAGATAGACTGACTAGATTCACCAGATGGACAAGTAGTGGGGAATGGCTGGGGGTGCTGACAACACAGCAGACAGTAGCAGGGATATCAGAGTATAAGGGCTCTAGTGGGGGGAGGGAGGCTATGGGAGGGTGCTCTCTGGGAAGTAGGTGTATAGTTGAATAAGATGGTTTGGGATGTTCTGTGTGATACACACACACAAAAAAAAATCAACAAATTTTTAAATGTATTGTATTTGAGGAAAAAGCATGGAAACTTACATCATTTTAATTAGTAGAGGTGATAAACATTACCATTGAAATCTACCCGATGACTTTATAGACATACACGGGTGCCAAGGATCTGAGTGCAACTGATTATGACTAGTAATAATCAGATACATACAGATTAGAGATGCATGAACCAACATTTCACTGCTAATAGCAAAAACAATGAGTCTTTCTGCAATGAACAATATATTCTAAAATGAAATGGAGATCTTTTTTAAAGGTTAAAAACTCATTCGATTTTATGTCTTACAGGGCTTATACTGAGTTCAATATTGTATAACTGTATTAATTCAACTGTGAACCTAGAAACTTACAGCCACTTGTGAAAGAGATGTACTCTTGCTCTGGAGTGTGATACTGAATATGTTAAAGCTGTAATGAAATGCTTCTTCTAATCATGTGGTTATTAAAATTTTTTTAATTGTTTTTGACAGTAAAGAAGTATTTGTTTTGTCTTTGAAATAGTGTTTTCTAGAATGTACTGCCTCACATAGCTAATACCCATCACTCACTTATAACTATCATGTGCATGCATTTGAACAAGGATGCATGATTAAGCATGTACCGAAGGAAACTGTTACTAAAAACACAATGTCATTTATTGCTTTGACTAAAGCCTGTTATAGGTATAAAGCTGTTTTCTTATATTAATGTAATACTACCAGCCTTGACCTTACTTAATAGCATTTAAAATTGTGTCTTGTTATTTTGGAAAAGAAATGATATGATTTATGACCAAAAAAGTGAGAAAGCATGTGAATATCATTACTCTATCTCTGAGATTACTATAATCATGTGTAAGTTCATAATAAATGATCTTTTATCCCTACTTTTAAAGTGATTTATGTTAAATATGAAAGCCATTTAAGTTGTTTTTAATTTTTCAATTTAATTTTATGTATATAAATGCTTTGTCTGCATGTATGTAAGTACACCTGTGAGTCAACCCCATGGAGGCCAGAAGAAAGCATCCGATGCCCTGGAACTGGAATTATGGACGGTTGTTAACCACTGTGTGGGTGCTGGGTCAAGGTCCTCTGGAAGGAGCCGGTGCCCTTAATCACTGAGTTATTTCTCCAGCCCCTCATTTCAGTTTTTTGACTGTTGAATATTTTCTTAAGTAACTTTTTTCTGACTTGCTTTTGTCGCTATAAATGGAAACCATGGGTACTGACTACACCTACAAGGGCAAAGAGGGGTACAGCAAAATGGAACAGACACTTGTTATAATCAGTTTTTCTCTGTTATTCGGGAAATAAAGAAAACAATCTGTTGCGTGTATACTATACATAAGTCATATCGAGTTGTAGGAAATGTAACATTTCCACTACTTTGGTCCTCACAGAAATTCTGTGATATGATTATTTTTTCTTACTGTTAAAGACAAATTGGTCAACACTGAGGGAATTAAAAAGCAATTTGACTTAGTGACAAACCTAAGAGCATGTCACCAGTGTCACCAGCCATTTATATGCACTCCATATAGAAAGGAACTTTGTGTAAACCATTATTCAGGGTGACCTTTAGAATGAAATTATAATACATTTAATTAATTCCTTGAATTCTTTTATTGAACTTTTGCCATAGTGTATTTATGCGCTGAACTTGTCATTCTACTGTTTGGTTGAGCATAATTAAGGAAACTTAAATTGATTGTTTCACCAGTGAATTCATTTCTTTGCATTCAGTCTTCTTAATTACTAAGTCTCTAATTAGTCTAAAAGTACTTGATAGTTTGCCTAAAGATACGTTCTATGTATGGAGTTGTTGAAGTTCAGAGAGGAAAGGAAGTCAACGATAAAATAATCCAGAGCATAAAATAAGTGTGAAAGTTTTCCGCTTTGTGGTGTGCGTAGAGCTGGGACTCTCCTGTACTTTGTGTTCCTTGACAAGATATTTCTACTTTATTCAACGTGCTCATTATGTGCACAATTCTTACCAACTGTGTGTTTATGACCATGAGTAACCCTCCAGACTGGACAAAGAATGTGGAGTAAGTAGAAAATTCATGTTGCAAATTGTGCCTTTAGTACCTTGAGACCCTTTTGCCTTCCTTCACACATCATGCTAAATCCAACACTGTTTCAAATTCATTCCAAACTCTGACTCCATCTAAGACAGAGTCTCCAGTGGCTCACCCAGTTGCTCAAATTGCAGCATGGGTTTGTTGATATCTGTTGTCCTTTCTCTTCCTTTTGAGCTTTACACATTAAAGATTATTAGTGTTCACCAATATCTACTGCCAAAATTATATATAATCTGCTTATTCATTTTTATGGGTATCACAGTTTTGATTTAGCAGTAATTCACTTCAGGCTTTAAATTTTTTACTTATTTATTTTTGTTTGTTTTATATGTGTGAGTGTATTGTTTGCATTGTGTAAATGCATCCATGTCATACAATTCCTTTGGAGGTCATAAGAGGAAGTCTGATCCCCTCGAACTGAGGTTTCAGACAGTTGTTAGCTGCCATGTGGGTGCTGGGACTCGAACCCAGGTCCTCTGCAAGAGCAGCCATATGCTTTGAACCACTGAGCCATCTCTCCACCCCCTCCTACAGACTTTTACTGGTACCTATTCTATGAAATGCAAATGCATCATTTGGGGATTAATAGCTATTTGCTGAAATCATATTGAAAGCCAGTGTATTTCAGATAATATCATTGTACAGAATATTTAGATCCTTCACATTGGTTAATATGGAAAGTAAAGTATTCATTTATTTAGAGTCAATAAAAATATCTATTGGAATTTAATGATAGCTTTTGCCTTAAGCCTCACTTAAACTCTCTATCAGAGGGAGACCAACATGGAACCTCTAACTTGTGCTTGTTATGCAGCCACTTTTATATGTACACTTGGGGCTTTGGGGTGTATAGCTCAGAGGCAGAGCAGTTGCTTGCTATGTGTTCAGTTCCTGGCACCAAACTAATCTTTAAAAATTAAAAACTATCTATGTTAGCTACCTGTGAAGTATTTAATATAAGCTTGGCTATTTTCTCTCAGGTACACTTTTACAGGAATTTATACTTTTGAATCACTTATTAAAATACTTGCAAGAGGCTTTTGTCTAGAAGATTTCACGTTTCTACGGGATCCCTGGAATTGGTTGGATTTCACTGTCATTACTTTTGCGTAAGTATTTTCGTAAGTTGCTCTATCTTAGTAGTGTAAATCCAGTGGGAGCCTGTACTGTATTTCCCTGTGATGGCTTCCCTTGACTAGTAAAGTGTTTTTATTGGTTATCATATGAATTTATATTTTTCCAATCAAATTGTTCAGCTTGGAGAAATTAGGAACTGTCATAATACATTACATGGCTTTGGTTTCAATTAGCATTGTGAAGAAATGATAAAGATTTCCAAATGACAGCTCTCCATCAATGCCAATGCTGTTCTCTTAACTGGGAAATCTGATGGCAGCACTCACTGAAGTTGAAAAGGTCTTGATTAAAGACCAACACAGATTTAGATTTCCCAAAATTCTGAATAACTCTGATTTAATTCTACAGGTATGTAACAGAATTTGTAAACCTAGGCAATGTTTCAGCTCTTCGAACTTTCAGAGTCTTGAGAGCTTTGAAAACTATTTCTGTAATTCCAGGTAAGAAGAAACCGGTATAAGGTGGTAGGCTCCTTATATCTCCAACTGTTTCTTGTGTTCTGTCATTGTGTTTGTGTGTGAACTCCCTATTACAGATATGTGACAGAGTTTGTGGACCTGGGCAATGTCTCAGCATTGAGAACATTCAGAGTTCTCCGAGCATTGAAAACAATTTCAGTCATTCCAGGTGAGAGCTAGGTTAAACACCGAGGCTGACTTTAGCTGCGCTGCTGCTGTGCTCACAGCTTTTTGGCAAAAGCCTTGTTGCTTGTTGCGTACTGCAAATAACTGTCAAAAGCAAGAACTGACCCATTGCATTTTGGATGGGTTTGATTCTTTGCTTTTTACTGGTTGCTTTCTCTCAATTTTTCTAAATCAGCCTTTGAGTTTAACAAGTTTTGCATGAGGCATTTACAGGCTACCTGGTTTGCATCTTCTAGCATCAAGCTTTCTGCATAGAAGCTAAACCATGAGGCACTCAGACTGATGCAAATTTGACCAATTAGGTCTAAAACTGGCGATCTTCTTAACTGCAGATAACGGAAAAGGCAAGGGAGAGCATGAGCGTTGCATGGGCTCAGTTTGCAGATCTCTTCCTTGTTTTGACCCATTGTCAAGCTTTCAAAGTTCACAAATACATACTCTCACAATTCAGTTGATTTCACTATTTCTCACTACTCCTCTCTTTAGATAGATTTATCTAAAACCAACACGGGGTTAGAGAGTAAGATATCTGCAAATAAAAGCAAAATAGTTACATAAGATTGATGTTCAAGCATGAGTAACAAAATCGTATCTTTTGCTGTAAGGAGTGTGTGAAAACACATTTGGTTCATTTCCATTCAGTTTTATAATGAACACACAAGTTCTGCTTTCATTCATTTTCACCAGCTAGCAGGCTTTTCATGAAAATTATATTCAGCCGCAGACATTAAACTAATATTTTTGGCATTCTGCATGACATTTATATTTTCCAGGACAAGCTTTTGATATTTGTGTTGGTAAATTCACTGCTGAACAGTAAGTGATCCTTCCTCTCCCTGGTTTTATTTGTAGGCCTGAAGACCATCGTAGGGGCCCTGATCCAGTCTGTGAAGAAGTTGTCTGACGTCATGATCCTCACCGTGTTCTGTCTTAGCGTGTTTGCACTAATTGGGCTGCAGCTGTTCATGGGCAACCTGAGGAATAAATGCTTGCAGTGGCCCCCAGACAACTCTTCCTTTGAATTAAATATAACTTCCTTTTTTAATAACTCACTGGATGGGAATGGCACCGCTTTCAATAGGACAGTGAACATGTTTAACTGGGATGAATACATTGAAGATAAAAGTAAGATATATTCTTGCAGCCATTAAATCACTCAGTTCTTTAGATGTTAAAAGCTATATGTGGTGAAAATTATTTCCAGTTTGGTATGAACCAAATTTCTTAGACTCATTTAAGATAATGTGCTAAATGCACTAGGAATATCAAATGACATCACATTCCCTTTTCTTTATCCATCAAGCAACATGATTTTTTTGTTACCATTTCAACATGTATACTGTTTTCCCAAACCAGTGCTGAAAGTGGTCCCATATTAGGTGATATATAAATAAAAATGTTTCTTTCTTTGGTAGGCCTTGATCAGGAATGTTCAGGTAGCCTCATCCAACAGTAGTTAGACTCATTCAGTGCGTTATTTGGAAATGTCTTGTTAGGAAACAGGAGGTGAGTTGGAGATGTAGCTCATTGACAGAGTGCTTGTTTGGCATGCCTGGAGCCCTGAGTTCAGTCCCTAGCACCACATATACTGAGCATAGTAGTGCACACCCAGAATCCCAGCGCCAAAGAGGTGAAGGCAGGAGGAGCTGAAGTTCAATATCATCCTCAGGTACACACTGAGTTCAAGGCAGAACATATTTTGTTGACTCAGAGAATATCTTAAGTACATATGATATGTATGGAAATACTGAAAAATATTTTCCTAGACGAAATCTAAGTTTTGTACTGATCAGAAAGCTAAGCTACCGTGATTTAACCATGCCTTTATTGATGTGCTAATGCATTCCTTTGAAGTGAGTTTTGGTATTATAGCTGTTTATCAGTAATGTTTGTTTTTTTTGAGGTGTGGACATCAAAATAGGTTTATGTTACCTTGGGCATCATCATAATTTCTTACTGATTTCTTACCAGACTCTTTGTCACTTGGTAATCTAAGCCCTGACTCCAAGGGCCTCAGATCAACCAAATTCCACTCTCTCTTGATCACATGTACTCCACTGAGACCTTTACAGTCTACATATGTTTTAAAAGAATAGAAAATTTTATCAGAACTCATATTATAGTGTTTTAAAAGCTCACATTCTTATGAATTTCTGTACTTGAAAGAATAAGAGTCACTAGAAAAAAAACTGAAAATATGAAACAAATCATCCTAATAATTATGAAATTTTCCATTTGCTAATATTATAATAGATGATGAAGAACTTTGCCCATAAATCTTTTCTCTGTCTCTGTACTGCCTATAGATGAAGTCCTGTTGATAACACTTCAGTGGGGATGGGGCTGTGTGATTATGGCTGTGGCCCCAAAGACACAGTGTTCGCTTGCTCTCCCTGGAACTCACACTGCTATCTGAGTCCTTACAGTAGCGGTCACCCCTCCACCATCATGATATTGACTTTTACCATTTCATATTTCAAAATCTTTTGATTAAAAAAAAGAACTTTATTCTTTTTGTTTATTCTTCAATTATTGGTGTGGGAAAATTTTTAAATGTTGGCTAGTCTTGGTTATATAATTATATAGTTCCTAGCCTGTGAATTATCTGTTGATATTCTTACCCATAATTTTACCACTTGATAGTATTTCTGAGGAAGCTACATGGATGCTTTATTAGTATATTTGCATTTTGTCTTTTACTTTGGCGAGTGCATTTTTTTCTGTTCTTCACTGATACCAAAGTGATTTTAATTTTTTGAAGTAGTCAAATCACCAAAATTGCTTGCATTTCCCCCTATTTTGTGTTTATGTAGTGCTTCTTGGTAAGAATTAAAAAATAAGCATTTAAATATTCTACATGTAAAATAGCCAAATATATTCTTGATATCATGTTAGTGGAGCTGTCTCTAAATTCATAAAAATCTAGATTTTTTTATGTTTTGATGTAAGGATTTAGAATTTTTAATGAAATGAATGCTCAGATCTTCCTACACAATCTATTCATGTAATCCTTGAATTCAGTGTTTTAAGTATTCTTAAATATCAACATAGTAAGTTTTAAAGGGCATATGTATATATTTATATATAGATGTTTGGTTTTATATGAAAATATATAAACATGTTTATATGTGTTCCCTGAGAACATTCTTTATTAACATTATACATATTATACGTTAAAAGAAAAAAATGGACATTTTAGAAAGCATACATTTCACAACATAAAAGTTTATTTTGTTCATTTGAAAGATAGAAATCAAGCAAAAACCCAAAACAAAACATTCTAAGAAGGGAACACCTAAGCTTACTTCTCACAAATTAAATGAAAATTGGCAAGAAAAAAAAATTCTGCATCTATATTGATTCTAAGCAAAAAGTGTTTGTTGAGTAAAATTTCACTTGCATGCAACGCTTAGACACAACAAGGCTTCTCTCTCACTCATTTTGTACCAAACAAGCTGCCTTAATTCCAGTTTCCTCTTGAAGTGCCCTCCAAACAGTTTGAATTTGTGTTTGCAATAAATGCTGATATGAAGATGCTATTACTGTTGTTCTTTCTGGAAATGTTTCTCTCTAAAATAATTTTCTCCAAACATTAGTCAAAATATTTCCTTTTATTGTGGTTTAATAGTCAGTTTCTATGAAACTCTTCATTTAGCCATAATGCCTATCAACTGTTTTATCTATTTTTATTATGACCGAACATACTTCTAAGCTTTGTGATCTAAATGCAGTGGTTACAATATTTAAAGGCCTTTTAATGATTCTGGCTTTTTTCCTTTAACTAGGTCACTTTTATTTTTTGGAAGGACAAAATGATGCTCTGCTTTGTGGGAACAGTTCTGATGCAGGGTAGGTTGTGCTTCTGATGGTCCTTCACTGCTCCATCGACCTCAGGAGCCTGCCACCCCCCACCTGCTTGACCCCCACTCATGCCTCATTCAAAGGCCTCCATAAGTTCCACTTCACACTAACTCAGAATAGTCAGGAGAAGTGTGGATTCTCACCTCCTTCATACACTCAGAAGCAGCAATTATTTTTCCATACTAGGTCACATCTAATCTTCCAAATTAGCACAATGGAAAAAAGACAGGCAGTGCATTAGTATTCATAAACACATACTTGTATATGCATGATGATTTATTTATGCTAATTTGGTCTCCATGGCTTAAAATGCAAAATCTCTGAAGATTATGTTGCTATCTGAGGCAGGGTGATTTTGTCTACCATATTTCAACAAAGCACGTATAAAAAAAGGACAGCCTCTGGAGTGTCAACATAGATTCAAACTCTGACGCCACTGGTTCTTGTTACTTCTGATTCCATTTTTTCAGGTATAAATGGGTATTGTGATAATAATGTCATTGATTAATTGTATTAACAAATGTATAGCTTTTTAAAGTTATAACTGATATCACGGTAGTGTTTGTAATTAAGAAGCATTTACAAAGCCTAGGGAAGTTCAGAGAAGTAGCTTACCCTGCTTAGAAAGACATTAGAAAAATAGGCAAAGATCTAATCTGTAATAATGTTGCTGAGATTTATAAATAATACCTGTACCCAAATTCTCGCTGATAACATGATTTGCATTTAGTTTCTGTGATCAAAATTGTGCAGCCTTTATCTCAAGACTCTAGTGATAAAAAGATGAAGATTTGAATTCCCTATCTGTGAAGTGCTAACTACTTTCCACACAGTACCTTATTCAATGCCTGCATTTTTAAGGCAGGATTTGTAATTAGTCCATTCTTAGGTGCCTGAAGGCCAGCAAGGTTAGTAAGTTAGCCCCAGGTTCACTCAACCGTGAAGTATCAGACACAATACTGAAGGCAGGTCTGCTTAATCATCAAGATGATTGGATGCGATCCTGAATGCAGTGTCAACCTCTCCTCTCAGTGTGCCTACACCCATCATGGCTGCTCCACTCCACACACACACACACACACACACACACACACACACACACACCTTTTATCTTATGACATCTGCCATGAAAATCAAATATATCCCTATACTTACTTATCTGATCATGTCCATGGTCCCAAAAGAAACTTTTAAACATATGATTATTTTCATATGAATATGTGATAAGTATCACCTTACAATCAGAAGAATCCAGTGCTGGAGAAATGGCTTAGTGGTTAAGAACACTGGTTGTTTTTTGCAGAAGACCCAGGTTTGAATCCCAGCACCCACACAGCAGCTAATAACTGTCCGTAACTCCAGTTCCAGGGGATCCAACGGCCTCTTCTGTCTTTCACGGGCATTGCACGACACTTATCTACATGCCGGCAATACACTCATACACATAAAATAAAAATAATAAATAAAATACTTAAAAAAAGAAATCAGAAGAATCCACGAATATAGTTGGTAGAAAGCCCACCTAGTGCAGGGTAAGTGCTAGGTCCAGTGAGAGACATATGCTTTCCTTATGCCTGTACAAAATAGATTGATATTCAGTAAAACAGAAACACAGACCAGCAGATTCACAGCTGCTGACTTCCTTTCTTCCTCTAATCTAATTACAGCCAGTGTCCTGAAGGATACATCTGTGTGAAGGCTGGGAGAAACCCCAACTATGGCTATACGAGCTTTGACACATTTAGCTGGGCCTTCTTGTCCTTATTTCGTCTCATGACTCAAGACTTCTGGGAAAACCTTTATCAACTGGTAAGAACAGTCATAATGACTGTTCTGGGAAGAATGAACTATGGAGACCAAGAGAATTGCTTCAGAATCCTTTATTGCTTAGCAGCAGGCGAGGGGGGCTTGAAACAGCCTATATAAAATTTATGAAACTGTCTCTCCCATTTTTACAGACCCTCCGTGCTGCTGGGAAAACATACATGATATTTTTTGTGTTGGTCATTTTCTTGGGCTCATTCTACCTGATAAACTTGATCCTGGCTGTGGTGGCCATGGCCTATGAAGAGCAGAATCAGGCCACCTTGGAGGAGGCTGAGCAGAAGGAGGCGGAGTTTCAGCAGATGCTGGAACAGTTGAAAAAGCAGCAAGAGGAAGCTCAGGTAGAGTTGGCAGCATGGAGACCTTTTTAAACCTCAGTTCTCTAACCTATGTGTTGCCGTTCACGTTGGAGACATGAAAGGAGTCTGATGTTAGGAACCTATTTGGTTATTAGGGAGTATTACATCATTTGGTGATTAATGTGTATCCTAAGGGCATACAAATGTGGATGATTAAAATTGCTTCCTTGACATTTTTTCTCCTTGTGACATCTTGAGAAGCTTCACAATCAATACCCGCAAGCTCACAAACTAGGTAGAACAGCATGCTCTTGGGAAGTGTTTCTTAATCTTTCAGGAAAGAAAGAGAAATTCAGTTAAGAGTTGTTTCTCCAATACAGTGTCACTAGAAGTGAGAAAGGTCAGAAAATGCCAGTCAAACTCCGATGATTTCATAGATTCTGGAAGTTAGAACCCTGCCAAATCCAAAGTATGAAAATGGAAGTTGATGGGTTATACCAGGAAATCACTAAAACAATAACATTCTCTTCCTTTTCTACTATAGACCTTTTAATGTAGATTTGATGAGTCTTCAAAACAAAGCAAGTATTTCTATAATTGCACTTGCTTGACTTAATGGCATTAACTAATCCAATTGCCTATTTTTGCCCCTCATCAACTATTGACCGCCGCTCTCCTCTATCACTGTCATTTAGTGTGTAATGAAGGCCAAGAAAATAGGTAGACTGAGGCAGTAGCAAATACACTCAACACCGTATTTTTTAAAGCCACACTGCTATTGGGGATAGATGGTTCAGCAATTAAAAGCACTTACTGCTTTTGCAGAGGACCTGAACTCAGTCCACAATACCCACATCAGGTGGCTCACAACTGTCTATAACTTCAACTCCAGGGGATCCTAGACCGTCTTCTGGCAGGGCTCACACACACATTCACATATGCACACACATACATAAATAATAAATATTTTAAAAACACAGTTATTGTTTATAAATTCATGCAGGTGTTCCTGGGATTCCCTGACACGTAAACTGCAATGTCCTTGCTGTACACTCCTAGTAAAGTATTCATGAGTTTCCTAATAAGATAGTTTAAGTAAAAGAGTGAAAAGTTCAATCAGTAAATACTTAGCTGAATTAAACTTAATAATGCAATCTGGTAGTCAGTCAGGTGGAAATGTCGTGTAAGACAAATGCCTTTGAGGTGTAAATAAGAAACTTTAATTTGTAACTACTTTCCTTTTTAAGATATTGCTTAAACCATTGGGAGAACATTGTTAAATTTTGTCATCACGCTTATGTTGCTAGAGTACTACATTGAGGCCAGAGTTTGAAGATTTTCATCATTCAGGTTGCCTCCTTCCACGGTTGATTTTATTCTTTGTTTAGTTTAGTGAAAATGTCCTGTTTTCTAAAGTATGGAACAGAATAGGGAACTGTTTTTCAGGAACACATTCATTGTATGATAGATAAGTGAAGCAATGTGTAAGTTTTAACGTCTGAGTACAGCTGATGTTTGCCTTGTGCTCTTCTAGGCCGCAGCGGCAGCGGCAGCATCTGCAGAATCCAGGGACTTCAGTGGGGCTGGTGGGATAGGAGTTTTCTCAGAGAGCTCGTCAGTAGCATCTAAGCTGAGTTCCAAGAGTGAAAAAGAGCTGAAAAACAGAAGAAAGAAAAAGAAACAGAAAGAACAGTCTGGAGAAGAAGACAAAGAGGTAGTGCGGAAGTCTGAATCCGAAGACAGCATAAGAAAAAAAGGCTTTCGGTTTTCATTGGAAGGAAGTAGGCTAACATATGAAAAGAGGTTTTCCTCGCCACACCAGGTAAAACATTAGGTTCTATTAACTGTATTTTCATAATACGGGTTTGTTTTTAAGTCTGTGCCCATGTCTGTGGGGCTGAAGCTGCCCTTCTCCCTGGACCGTGATGCTTTCAGATTGGTATGACCCTCGAGAGTTTGCTGCCATCTCAGGGATCCTGTGAGCTTTACAACTTTCTTTGAGCAAGGGAAGAAAGGCATTTGCAGATCACATTGATCTTAGGGAGGAGGTTAGCAGTTCTGAGGTTTTGTTAACCGACCTGAGACTTTTCAGGCAGTGTTCCACATGGGGAAGGATCAGCAGATGGTCCCATCCCTTCTTAGCTACTGTGCCTGGACCCAGTGAGCTGTAGGTTTTCTGAGTAGCAGGTGCCCAGCAGTGGACCAGGGAAGCTTTCAGGCCGTCTGCGCAGTATTCCCATCCACGTTCAAGCTCCCATGGAGAGGTTTTCTTCCTCAGTCTCGGATTCTCATGCATCAATTTCAGTTTGAGGAACGTTTTCTTCCCTAAGTGGGGGAAAAAGGGTGTATTCATCACGCCCTCCTTTCAAAGAGAGTTGAGGCAATATTTTTCTCAGTGTAGTCAAAAGTCTTAGGTGGGCATGCACTAAGAAAGGCTTGGGATACTAACAGTGATGTTCAATTGTACTGGATTCTTTCTGTGCCCCATGTTAACAAAGACTTGCATTTTAAAACACACAGATTTATATGTTGCAGGAAAATGTTTTCTGCATGTCTCTAGCTTATGCACCTACACAAGCTGTTGAAATTTTACAACTTAGGATTCTTAATTGTCTTCCCAATTACCTAGACATACACACTGCCTCAGAGGACAATTTCACCAAGAGTGAAACTAAAGTATCCATATAGTAGTAGTTAACAACACTGTTGGCACACCCCTGCTCACATTTACACACTGCGTTGCTACTTGAATTATGAACTTTAAGCACCTCATTACAAACCTAAGTAGCTACTAATTTATCATTACAAATTTTCAGCTATGAAGAAGAGAGGCTGTATGCTTTGTGGTGTGCCTATTTTATGCACACATTATTTTGAAATATACTTTTATTACCTTGTATTAACTGTACAAAATAAAGAGTTTCATAGTGACAGTTTTCACATATGTATATATCAAGACCTTGACCAGCTTCACATCCCATTTACCCTTTCTAAATCTCCCTCCTCTCTCTGGGCTCCTTCCTCTTCCCAAATAAAATCCTCTAGTAGAAGATCTTTTTTTTTTTCCATCTAGATTCTACATATGAAAAGTTTGTCTCTTTGAACCTGACTTATTTCATTTAACATGATGACCCATTTTGTTATTTATGGCTGAATAATATATTCCACAGGGTAGATATACCATCCTTTTCTTTGTCCCTTCATTTGCTGATGACTGATTATATAACTTCATGATTGTGAACAGGGCTGCAGGAAGCATGGTATGCTCACTTAACTCCTTTGTGTATTTACCCAGGAGTGGTATAGGTGGATCATATGATAGCTCTACTTTGAGTTTTTTGAGGAACCTGTCTACTGATTTCCATAGTAGCTGGACTAATTTATATGTCTACACATAGTGCAAAAGGTTCATTTTTTTCCAGTATCCTTGCCAGCATTTGTAATGTTTTGTTTTCTTAGAAAAACACCTTGTGATTTTTTTAATGAACTATTTTGTTTAGGAAGAGAAGGAAACTTGATATAATTTTGACTTGCTTTTTGACTTGACTCCCTGATGGCTAAAGATATTGAACATTTTTCATGTATTCATTGGCTAGTTGTGCTTTTTCTTTTGAGAGCTATCTGTTCAGTTTATTTGCCCATTTATTGATCTGGTTATTTGGTTCTTTGGTATTAAATATTTGAGTTCTTTACATATTCTGTATATCAATCTCCAGTTAACTGACTCCCCTTTTGTAGGCTGTTCCATCAGTCTGATACTTGGGGTTTTTTTTTTTTTTTGGTTTCTGTTTTTGTTTTTTGTTTTGTTTTGTTTTTTGCTGTGCAGAAGCTTTCTAATTTGATACAACTCCATATTTCCTGAATCTTTTTCAGAAAAGCTTCCAGTGCCCATATGCCAAGGTGTTTTCCCTGTTTTTCTCTAGTAGTTTCAAAGTTTCAGGTCTCATTTTTAAGACCTTTGTTCATCTTTAGAAGATATCAAAGGAGCTTCTATATTTTAAAACTTTATCAAAGAGACATCTATTTGTTGGGAAGATAATTGAGAGAAGTTTCTTATTTGAGTCCAAAGAGTCAAAATAATGACTATTCAAAGTCCAAATCTGCCTTGTGATTTACCCTTCAATGACTTTACCTCCCCCAGAGGACTGTAAAATCAGCTTGGATTTTGTTGTTGTTGTTGTTGTTGTTGTTGCTTTGGGTTTCTTGAGACAGGTCTCATGTGGCCCAGGTTGGCTTCTAATTTGCTATGTAGCTGACCTTGAACTCCTGCTCCTACTGCCTCCACATCCCAAGTGAGATTACAAGCATGCACCACCATGCCTGGCTGCAAAAAAATGCATCTTCTGGGTGTGTTCTTCCCTTTTTTAATGTGCACTGCTTTTTAATTGTACTGAATAATTTGGTCTTCAGGGCTGCTTTATCAGATATGAGTATAGCTATGCCTACTTGCTTTTAGACCCTGCTTAACTGAGATATCTTAGGTATCATGTAGCATCTCTTCACTTTCAATCTCTTTGTATCTTCGCTAGTGGCTTGAGTTTCTTATGAGTACCAAATAGTTGAACCTTGTTTACATTCCATCAGTTAATATGCACATTTTAATTGAAGAGTTAAAGACCTTACATTTAGGATGATTATTAGAAGATATATATTAATTTCTCCTTAATTCGTTTTTGCTGTTTTTTACTGAGGTTTGGTGATTAAATGAATTTTATTTTTATTTTTGTGCTTATTCCCTGAGTCTTATTTATTTTATATTTGACTGAGAATTTTCTTTTCCACACTGTCATAATTGTTTGTATTCTTTCTTCCCCTTCTGTAATATTGCTTTAAGTGTTCACTTCATGGGGCTGAAGAAGTTAAGAACACTGAATGCTCTTGCAGAGGACCTGGGTTCAGTTTCCAGAACCGACATAGCAGCTAACAACTGTCCATAACTCCAGTTCTAAGAGTGCCAACACTCTCTTCTGGCCTCTGTAAGAAATACACAACATGGGTGCACTTACATACATATAGTCAAAACATTCATACATATAAAATAAAAATAAATAAATAATAAAAAGTATCTGCTTCATGTCTGTCTCGGTGGGGATGAATTGCTTTAGTGTATGCTTAGCATGGGAGATCTTTGCTTTTCAGTTTTAAAAGATGAATTTTCTGGATTCTGTAATCTTGTTTAATTCAGGGCTTGAAGTATATCAGTCCCTGGTCTCCTGGCCTTTAGGGTTTGTTCCAGTAAAGTCTGCTGTTACTCTGATAGGTTACCTTCGAGAGGGGCTCAGCATTTCCCTCTTGCCACTTTCCGTGTTCTCTCTTCATTTAGTTGTGTCTGCATTTCAGCTGTAATCGGACATGGATTGTTGATCTTCTGGTTCTGCCTACCCTGCATTCTAAATGTCTCTTTTTCCTCATTCGGTCCCTGAACTTCTTTCTTCCACTCAGGTTAGTCTGTTGGTAATGCTTTCCACTGAGTTTTTCATTGGATTTATTGTTTTATCCTTTCCACAATCTAATTTTTCCTTCAGATTCTCTATATTTTTTACTGAATTTCTCATCCAAGTTTCTGAATTTCATACGCAAGTCTTGTATAGATTTTTATTACTTAATTTGTCTGTTCGCGTCCTCCTGAGGTCAGTGATCATCTGAAAAATCAAACGCTAAATTATTTGGCATTTCAAGCATTTCAGTGTCTATTTGGTTATTGAGGAGTTAAGAACCTTGACGGGAACTGGGGAGGTAAAGTCAGCTGGCAGAGCTCTTGCCTGGTATGCATAACATCTTGGGTTCAATTCCCAGCATTACATAAATCATTGTGATGCAGGCTTGTAATCCCAGAATTTAGGAGGTGGAGGGAGAAAGATCAAAAGTTCAAGGTTATCCTCAGCTATAAAGCAAGTTTGAGGCCAACCTAGGATACATGAGCCTGTCTGAAAAAATAAATAAACAACTTACAGGTAAGTCATGTTGCCTGGTCTGTTCATATTTCTTATCTTTCTATCCAGCAATTCATGTATCTATAGGGCTGGACACCTATTGTGATTTTACATGGTGATCTTCTTAGTGAGCAACTTTCTTTTGAGGGCTCAGTTCCCAGTACTACTTAAATAGGAGAAAACAAAATGACATGATAGGAACAAAGTTGAAACAGGTATAGAAATGCCAGATGCAGAAATAAAGACACCATCAACAGCCATAGACAGAAAGTAGCAAAATAATGTAGAACAAACCATGAAGTTAAAGTAATAACTATAGCAATGAAATAAAGAGAGAGCAAGGGAAAGGGAAAAGAAAGAAGCAAGAGTCAAGAAATGAAGAAGAAAACGTTTACCTTCTTACCATCCTGAATGCATTCAGTCTCGTCTGGAGGAGAAAGAATAAAAGAAAGGGAATAAAATGTATTCAGAAGTTTTCAAAATAATATGAAATGAAAACAATACTTTAAAATAATGGTAAAGGGAAAATTTAAAAGTAGGAAGAAGAAAATGAAGGAAGGAAGGAGGGAGGGAGGGAGGGAGGGAATTGGGGGGGCATCCTTCTGGGTCTTCTGCTGTTATTCATCCGGGTCTGGGTGCAGCTGGAGTCCGTGGCAGCTACTCTCTGTTCCTACCACACAGGCTGAAGCCGTGTCCAGAGTTAGGCTGTATCCAGGTTGGTCAGGATTATGCTGTTAGTAACAGGGATGCATTTATAGCAGGAACTTCCTTCTTTACATACCAGAGCTGCTGCTGTCCTCAGTGGGTTTTGGGAAACTGTGGGCCAGGCAGGGTCCCACTGACTCTAGGCCCTACTTCCCTATAGTTTGTAAACTTAAAGACTGAAATTCCCAAGCCTAGATTTATCCCCAACATGTTTTGAAGAGTGAGGAAAGCAGAACACCCAAGTGGTTTTACAGTGGAGGAGAGAAACCAGGGAAACAGGCCATTCTGCCTGCCTACCTCAGAACTTCCATTGTCTGCTCAGTATTAAACCATCCTTCAAGAGGGAGGAAGCAACAGAAATCAAGTCACCTGCTGGACTTGGGCTCAGAGCTCTCAGCTCCATATGGCAATCAATCTTACATGGCAGCGAGGCAGCTGCAGAAGAAGCTAAGTGATCTGCATGCCCTGAGTTCAGAGCTCTTAGTCTCTACAGTAACCCACAGATGAAGAGTCTTGTTCCTTACCACAGAAAGCAGAGCCACGACTACTAAGCCACTGCCAATGCAAGCTTCCTGATCCTTAAACGTCTCATCGTGTCTGCATCTGGACTTCTCCCTCTCCATGACTTCCTCTCATGAATATCTCCCTCCCAGACAATGTGACCAGATATTGCCATCCCCCCTACACTGTGATTATTCAAGAACAGCTTGTCTCAAAGAATCAACTTTCTGTCAAGATGGTGCCCAGCTATAGCCCTCTGAAGTATGGGGAGCAACAAAATGGATTTCTTCTCCATTGCTGCTGTCTTCCAGAAGGGGTCCGGGCCAAATCCCTGCCCTGGATTTAGGACTTGCTGGAACTTTAGGCTTCTTTCTTTCAGTGCTACATGACTGTAGGTCTGTTGGCACAGGGACTGCCTGAACTCTCTAGACTTGCCCTGCATGTGGTTTTGGTCTCACACATTCTTGCTACCCCCTCACAACCAGTGCTAACAACTCCACTGTGGAGTGTTACTTTTACAATAGATTTGGCTTTGCTAAGTTAAGTGATCACCAAAAGTCACACGATTATAGGGCTAAGATAGTATTCAAACTTCACCTGACGCTGAAACCCTTAAAATTTCTGCTTTCTCACGCAGCGTAAAAAGAATCTTTAAACTGATGATGAAATGTATAATTTGATTTCATTTAAAAGACATATCTAGGATTATTCTTTCTCTTTGTACCTTTTACATAGAATAGGCAGTTCCATGTAATCTTACCTTTTTTTCTCTCTCTTTTTGAGATGGGGTCTCCTGTAGCCCCAGCTTGCCTGGAACTCACTATACAGACCGGCTGTCCTTAAACTCACAGAAATCCACCTGCCTCTGACTCCTCAGTGCTGGGATTAATGGCATGCACCATCAATGCCTAGCATAATTTTATCTTTAATATATGCAATCTTTTATAGGTCAGCTGATCCATTCTAAATCCACATAGCACTGTGAATTGCGATAAATTGTGGTTGTATTCAAACTGAAAAACAGACTTTAAAATATTTTCTTTATTATTTTTATTTTTGTGTATTCCTGCATGTATGTAATGCACTTGTGTCATGCAATGCTGGCAGAGGTCAGAAGAGGGTGTTGGATTCCCCTGGAACTGGAGTTTAGACAGTTGTTAGCTGCCATGTGGGTGCTGGGAACAGAACCCAGGTCTTCTGCAAGAGCAGTCATTGCTCATAACCATTTCTCCAACTGGGAAAATAGACTTTGAAGATTTGTTTGCAACTAAATAAAAACACTTCTTCAATTTGTTATCACACTATTATGATTCTATTAGTATAAATATTGATCAATAAATATGAATCCCTTAAACACTGAACTCTCTTTTCAAAAGAATGGTTATTTTGGAAAGCAATAGAGAAAAGGAAAGAAGAAAATAGAGGGAGGAAAGAAGAGATCCAGAGAGAAGGAAACAAGAAAAACTGTTTTGTCTATGCCTAAACCTAAATTGGTACAGATTAAAACTTAAATTTGCAACTTCGTATCCACTTGTACACAACATCTTCAATTTGTTTCATTTCCAATCCAATGGAACTAATTTCAGGCAAAGCAGTGTGTCTTGGAGCTCTGGGCTCTGTCTCTGCTCTGTATTTGCACACAGATCCAACATTTCCTCCACCAGGTCTTCAGACCTCGCCCCACCTCTATTTCCCAGCTAGTTGGGAAAGATGGAAGCAAGAGAAAGAGCTCAGATATTGATATTGCACTAACCACACTTTGCAAGCCATGGAAGTAATACTGAAAATGTCAAACCAAGTAGAGATATTTTGCTTGGCTACAGTGATGGGGGCAGCTTTGCTTTTGAGAAATTTTTCAAAGTTCCAAGATCCACAAAAATGTTCAGAAAAATGCAGAGTGTGTGGCACACACTTCTTTTTATGATGCTAACCTAAAGTTTAATTTCTTTTATTTGCATTTTAATTTACTTTATTGAATTTTTGTGTATTTCATACAGAACATCTCAATCAATCATAATCATCTTTATACCCTCATCCCTACTGGCACCCTCCCATAGCCACCCCCCCAACTAGAATTCATAAATTTTGTCATTTGTGTTAAGGCCTATTTTGTCAAGTTAGTGTCCCCAGTCATTCCTCAGTGCAAGTTCATCTACTGAGGTCTAGTCAGCTTATCCAGAGTCCCTCGCTTTAGGAATATCAGCTCTTCCTCACCTAGCAGGGTGTGGGGCTCACGCTTTTAATCCTAGCACTTGGGTGGCTGAAGCAGGTGGATCCTCTGTGAGACTGAGTTCAGCCAGTCCTATAGAGCACGTTCCATGCCAGCTGGGTTTACCAGGAGACCCTGTCTCAAAAAACCAAACAAAATTTAAGACACTGTGCTTCATAATGACATAATGGAAAGATTATGCTGCTAACCATTTCTGCTTTCAAACTGAAAAAAAAAAAAAAACACATAATGTAAGCTTTTCCTGCAAGATTATAATTTTCACAGCAAAGTGGGTGGAAATATGAAATATTTCTTAGACATCCCTTTGATGTGTAAGTGTGGGAGAGGGAAGAGAAGAAAGTCAAGAGTGTAAGCTCTAGTCAAGCCTCCATGTAATCTGGGTATTCTGAAAACTTTCTAAGTTTTAGGTGACCTTATGTTATTATGCTGTCATATTTGTGATGAATCAGGCATTTTGCTTTCTGGAGATTCACTAGTGGGGAGAAGTTTTCTTCTTGGTCATCTTTATTTGTGTCACAGCATTTAACTACTGTGAACTTATAAGCAGAAGTCTATGCTAACAAGGTATGATCATTTGTCATATAAGGAGCTGTCATATGGAAACTGCTTTTATACGACTTAATACACATTTGAATCTCAAGAAATACTGTGTGCAATCTTATTGAAATTATTTACCTATATCCCTCTATGATGCATCCTAGTTAAAATATAAGCACTTCTAAGAGTGGTACACATACTTTTTTTTGCTTTCTTTTGTCAATTATTTTGTCTACTTTTATTTTTGAGCTAATGGTAATCAATAGGTTATTAATTAGGGTAGGGTAAATGTATGAAGAAATAACTTTTGTTGGCAGGGCAGGTATGTCTTCTTAAATGTGATTCTTTCTGTGAATAATGAGTGGAATCATATAACACAAGAGAGTATTTGATGCTTATAGCTACTTTATAGACATTAAAATGTCATTAAGGAAAAAAATGATACTTGAAAAGAATATTGTAAACATAATTAGTGGACAAAAAATATAAAAATGTACAAAATAAATTTATTCTACTTTAAATCCTTTGAAGAGTAAAAGATCAAAAAACCAGTTAAATGATGAAATATGTTATTTCTATAATAATCATAGAAGCACAATTCAGGTTGGCCTTAAAAAAGATAAAAATTATTAGGTAGTGCAGATAATGCCTGTGAGTAGTTAGGCAAGACCACAGGGACTTACTCTGTAACCAGGTCTTTCTCTACTTGTCAGTCCAGGTTTCTCCCATAAGATGCTCTTAGCCCAGTAATCTCAGCAACCCCAACTGAAAAAGCACCTCTTTTCCAACAGTCATAAAAGGAAGAATTGGCTCCCAATGGGCCAAGCACTATTCCTTATCTCTCTTTAAACCATCCCTTAATATACTAGTAGTTGCCTGGACCTGTGGTACTGCTCTGCTTCTCAAACTAGGGATTGGATTAATGCCTCACAAATTAAATGATTCAAGAACTGAGGAGCATTTCTTAAGGATAAGTTTCTCTTCAATAGCAGAGAAGTGGATAGCGGTCAAGTAATTTTACAGGTGTTCACTAGGGGTTATAACATAGACTAGGAACATACAGGAAGCAGTTCCCCTTCTAGATGCTGTGATGGTCAAGAGCTTGATGCTTGATGCTTGAGGTAAGTGACAGGTCATCTTTCAGAAAATTTTAAGTGATTGTGATTGAATTCTTGGGGAAAACTAGGCTTTTGCTAACATAGTGTTGTTCAGATTTCTTGAGACAGAGAGTGGAAATCAGGGAATGAATCATAGTTATTTCAGCTTGGTTTGCTTAATTTATTCATGAAGACCGATATAAAATATGCAAAGGGAGGAGGAGAAGCTGCTCCTGTACTATAATTACGCAGATCCACTAGCAAGATGGATTTTATTTTTCTCTGTGGGAAGAACTGCTTCAGGGTGTGGTCACTTGCAAGTTTTTTCTTGAGTTTATTTTTGGTTTCAAAAGATCTAAATGTAGGTGGGTATTTAATTGCCTTCCATTGAACTGTTAAGTAAAACCCACTTCTAGAAAATGGTCTAGCAAGCATTGCTGTTCCAGGTGTCAGTAATAAGGCAATGTTGTGGGAGTGCCTGCAACTATGCTAAGACAAAGGTAAAGCAGAAGAAAATATAACAGGAGGAAAACGAAGGAAAGGAGAAAGGGGGAAAGTAAGACGAAGGAGGTCAGCCAGTCGGCGATGAAGGGGACCCTTGGCTCCAGTCCCGTGACTTACCTTGATATAAGCAAATACCTAGGAACCAGTGGGGCGAGCCACTTTCTTTGGGATACTGGTTCTGAATTCCCTTCATCTGTTGTGTTTGTTTTCTGGCTCTTCGTAGTCTTTACTGAGCATCCGAGGCTCCATTTTCTCTCCAAGACGCAACAGTAGGGCGAGCCTTTTCAGCTTCAAAGGTCGGACGAAGGATATTGGCTCTGAGAATGACTTTGCCGATGATGAGCACAGCACCTTTGAGGACAACGACAGCAGAAGAGATTCTCTGTTTGTACCGCACAAACACGGAGAACGGCGTCCCAGCAACGTAAGCCAGGCCAGCCGAGCCTCCCGGGGGTTGCCCACTCTGCCCATGAACGGCAAGATGCACAGTGCGGTGGACTGCAATGGCGTGGTCTCCCTGGTTGGAGGCCCCTCAGCCCTCACGTCTCCGGTGGGGCAGCTACTGCCAGAGGTGAGGCCCATCAAAGGGGCAGCAAAGGGAACAGAAGGCGGCGGGGTGATGGTTCAGGCAGGAGACTGGGTTTTGAGCTCCACATTCAAGAATTTTCCTGAGCCTGTTATCCCAAGGCCAGGAGTTGGCCCTATCAAGCTATGAACGTATCTTCTACACATTTCTGCAAATTCAGAACATAGGTGGCGTCTCAGAAATAATTAGAAGTATTTGTTCATTATTATTCCTACACTTTGGAATCTAGAAAAATCCAAGCCACATTTTGTGGTGCTTAACATATAATTAATATGATTAAACATAAAAAATGAACGTGCACAATTATATAAATATTCATTCCAAAGATTTGACTATCATTGTTCCCTTAGACTACAATTCAGCACTTCCACTTGACATGGAGACTATCACACATTTCTAAATGCCACAGTGCACACGCTCAAATGACACCCCCTCTTGTAAATCTGTACAGCAAAGAGCACCTGGTACAGAATCATGTGCACTTCTTTGAATGGAGTACAGAGTCATGTGTACTTTTTAAAGCGGATTTCAATTTTTGTATCACTGTCCTGAATTCTTTGTAAGCAAAGTAGCCCCCAAACAAAGAGATGGGAAAGAGTTTCAGCTAAATAATGGGCACATACCAGCATGGATCATTGACCATTCTTTCATAAAATGAGATGCTCTTAATATTGGCATTAAATGACATTCATTTGCCAGTGTAAAAAATACTCCAGCCTTGTCATCTGATTACAACTTACAGTTTTCAGAATCATATTAAAATCTCCTTTGTATTATTACCTTCAGGTAACTTCATTTATTCTAAGCAGACAAGGTCTTTAAGCCCACATTAAAACGGTACAGAGGGCCTAGGAAGATGGTGTAGTGGTTAAGAAAAGTATTGGCTGCTTTTGCAGAAGACCTGGGTTTGGCTCCTAGCGCCAGTTAAAAACAACTGTCCTTAACTCCAGTTCCAGGGACTCCAACACCCTCTTTAAGTTCCCGTGGCATTGCATGCACATGGTGCACTTACATATATGAAGACAAAACACTCACGCTCATAAAGTAAAAATAAATACATTTTTTAAAAGGTGCAAAGTTTCCCTTTATCGATAGCCATTGATCTTCTTCATTTATTGCTGCCTGGCCTCTCCTCAACCCTTTCTCCCAGAGACATTTTGAAGCATCTCAGAAGAGAGAAAGCCATAGGAGCAGTAGAACTTGGTTGTGAAGGAGACAGGAAGAGTGACAAGGAGCTGTCACTTCTTAGACAAATGATTACAGCCAGCTATCTGCCAGACACTGTCTGGAAGACTTTACACATGGAACGCATTTAACCCTCACAACCATGCATTATGACAGTTACTGATATCATCTCCATTTTACAAAAGAAACTAAGAGTTGTGCATGGTGTAGCTTGAGCCTAGGTTTGCTGACTTACCAAACCGACATTCCATCTACATCAAAATATGATCTTCTGTTGAGTTTTCTTAAATAGAAAAGAATAGATGACTAAGGAGAGAAACATTTTCATTTAAATTTCAGTGTCTCTTAAAATATGCTTCACCTTTCAACTACTCACATCAGAAACACTCCTTGGGCTCTTCATAAAAATAGAGATTTCTGCCGGGCGTGGTGGCGCAAGCCTTTAATCCCAGCACTCGGGAGGCAGAGGCAGGCAGATCTTTATGAGTTCAAGGCCAGCCTGGTCTACATAATGAGTACCAAGACAGCTGGGGCGACAGGGAGACCCTGTCTCAAAAAGACCAAAAAAAAAAAAAAAAAAAAAAAGATTTCTGGGTGCACCCAGATCTACTCTGACAGAAGCTCTAAAGACAAGAGACCTGGAAATCTTTTTCTTAAGCATCTCACATGGCTCCTCTATACAAAAGCAGGCCCGTTACTGGTAAAAAATAGGGTAAAGATTTCCAGTTTCTTTGCATAAATACAGGGAGAATGTCAGAACCTCTCTGGGATTTATCTGTAGTCATGAAATCTCCTGTGGGAAAGGGTGGAATAAACAGTGGAAGGCCAGGTTGGGCCTAGCTTGAAACCAAGCCTAACATAGCTGAAAACATGCTACTCCCTCTTCTCCGTTCCTCAGTCTTGGGAGTCAGTGCTTGGGGCAGGAAGCTGGGCTGTGGCACAGAATGCAGGCTTTGGGACACATGAAGCAGGCTTTGGCACACTGCAAAGATGACATGAGAGCAGGAAATAACAGCTGTAGGCAAATGGCACTTTGCAAAGCACACAACTTCTTTGCTTTACATACTAACTGAATTGAGACATTTTAACTTAAAGAATTTCTTCAGTAGTATCACTAGAGGTTTTGGAATCCATCATTTAAAAAATTGCACAGATCCAAAGGGACTCCCAGATAATAACCCAGCATAGAACTGGGAAAATGAACAGCAGACCCCAATCTTAGCTAAAGGAATATTGACAACTGATTGCTGCTAGATGAGGAACAGATGATCTTCCTAAAATAAGGATCTCTAGATAGGCAAATAGATTCAGCAGATGGACAAGCACTGGGGAATGGCTGGGGATGTAGCTCAGTGGTAGAGCACTTGTCTAATGTGTAAGACTCAGAGAGAAAGAGGTAGGGTGACATCTGGGAAGTGGATGTATAGTCAAATGAGATGGTTTGGGATGTTCTGTGTGATATACACACACAAAAAGAATCAACAAATTTTTAAAAATGTATTATATTTGAGGAGGAAGCATGGAAACTTACATCATTTTAATTAGTAGAGGTGCTAAATATTACTGCTGAAATCTACCTGATGACTTTATAGACATACACAGGCGCCAAGGATCCGAGTGCAACCAATTATGACTGGCAATAATCAGATACAAACAGATTAGAGATTCATGCGCCACCATCTCAGTGTTAGTAGCAAAAACAGTGAGTCTTTCTGCAAGGAACAATATATTCTAAAACGAAATGGAGATCTTTTTTAAAGGTTAAAAACTCATTCAATTTTATGTCTTACAGGGCTTATACTGAGTTCAATATTGTATAACTGTATTAATTCAACTGTGAACCTAGAAACTTACAGCCCCTTGTGGGAGAGATGTACTCTTGCTCTGGAGTGTGTTACCGAATATCTTAAAGCTGTAGTGAAATGCTTCTTCTATTCACGTAGTTATTAAAAATTTTTTTAAAAATGCACAGATCCACGATTCTATATATGGTTCTGTATAGAGAAAAAGTCCTTAGATAACATTCCTATGACTTCTGCTTTTTTCTTTCTGAGAACTGCACCTTTGGGAGAGGGCAAAATAATTTCCATTTTGTGGAGCCCATTTTTACTTCAATTGTTTGGTTTTCAGGGAGGAGTTGTCTCTTTTCTCCTTAATGTCACCTCTACCTTGAAATTGATTTTAGAGTGACTACATGGATCATTATCACCATTCATGATAATCAGTTGACAAAATCAGTTTTGAAAATATGTGGTTATGCAGATGAATAAAGACAATGGTAACGTTAATTACTCACATCACAATAAGGTCCAGACAGACGATTGGCACTCATGCTGCTCTGTTGGAAACAGCTAAAACACTCATTGACTTGAAAGGGGCTTATTCCTAACACACTCAGACATTCTTTTGAAGCACTTGAGTTTTTTCCTTTGTCCTGTGACAGCTAACTTTGTTATTTGATGTCCTGAAGGAGGAACAAATTTCCACATCTGGACCTGGTAAGCTAATTTTAGTCTAAGAAAGTATTGATTGCTAAAATCAAAACTCCTCCAATTGGTGTTATCACCTGAGAGTTTCAATGCCAAGAACAGAGGTTTTTTTGTAAGTGGAAGATGAATTTATAGATTATCTAATATTTAATATTTTTAATACAGATGTGGGGAAATGATATCTGTCTCTAGTGAACAGAAGCATTTTACATATGGAAGTCACATTTTCAGGGAACTATTATTGAAGCATATTGGGGAAACTATTTTTTCATGTAGAGCAGATCTAATAACTGAACCTGGGCATAGACTGAGAACACCACAGAAGCCTGGGGATCTGGTGGACTTCGAGACATGCCCTTGGATGATAATTTAGCACTATCATAATGAGCTATTGTGGTGTGAATGCAAAGTGTCCCCCACAAGCTCACCTCTTTGAGCTATTGGTCCCCAGCTGGTGGCACTGGTCAGGAAGATTGTGGACCCTTCCAGAGGTAGAGCCTTGCTGGGGGAAGTAGGTCAGAGGGACTGGCTTTAGGCTTTATAGCTGGCCCCACTTCTTGTTCACTGTCTGCTTCCTGAATGCAAATGTAATGTGACCAGCCAGCCTCCTGTTCTGCCACCATGCCTTCCCTGCCTACTTCCACACCCTCCCCGCATGAACTGCATCCCTCAGGAACTGAAGACAAACCCTTTCTCTCTTAAGTTGCTTTTGTCAGGTGTTTTTTTCTCAGCAACGAGAAAGTAACTCTGATGGCTGTTAATGCCGAGGAAAGCATAGTGAGCTTCTGGCCAAGCAGCAGCTTCAGCAGGAGTACAGGCGGGTTGGCCACTCTAAGAATAATGGTTAATTCATTGTCTGAAATTTTGTTTCCTAGGGCACGACTACTGAAACAGAAATAAGAAAGAGACGATCCAGTTCCTATCATGTCTCCATGGATTTGCTGGAAGACCCTACATCAAGGCAAAGGGCAATGAGTTTAGCCAGCATTTTAACCAACACTATGGAAGGTATGTGAGAAGTCTCACACCATAGGTCTTTTGGTAGTATGTGGGTAATGCCGCAAAACCACTACCTTAAATTCCAAGAAAATACTTCCCAACTGTTACCATATCGTTATTTCTTTCAGAAGGTAAAAGTCAAACATATATATGTTTAATGCACAGATTCCACTCTCTCCTGTAGATTTTTGCATTAGTCTCCAGGAAGCTGCTGCAAATTCAAGGTACATTTGGAATATGACTTCCAGAGTTTAAATTCTAAACACTTAAAACTTGCTGGTGATATGTTAATAATTAATAATGATATATGCTATAATGCTAACACATTTGAATTGTATTAGCTGCTTCAGACACATTTATTAAGTTTATTGACAATCAGAAATATGGAAAAAGTAAAACTAAGACTTGACACCTCAGGGAAGCTGTGTTCAAACTTTTCTAGTCTTTCTTGTTCCTCTTCTTTTTCCTCCCTCTTTCTGTCTCTCTCAATCTCTATCTCTGATCAAATATTACAACAGATCAACTTTTTCTTTTTTTGAAGACTATATCTGAATGGTTAAGATAGCATTTACAAGGCTGGATTTCATATTACCAAAATAAAAGTTTAGGGATCAGCTTAATCTGTGATCATTTCCTGACTCTGCCACAGGCTAACTGTATTAATTTACTATTTTAGTTTTCATTTTTTTCCAGTAAGACGTGGAGTATAATGTTTAGGCATAAAGTTGTTATAAGGACTAAATCAGGCACCATATATAAAGCACCCATGTACTTCATATGCTGAAGACAGTCAAGAAATACGATCTTTATTGTTTTTTATGCTATTTTTGTTAATTTGAATGTTTTTACCTTTTCATATTATAAGTGAACTCAAACAACCACTGTTGTCTTTAACTACATGGGAAATACATTAATGTAAAATATTTCCTCTAAAATGTATTCATGTAAAATCCCCTTCTTTCCATTTCTTCCGTTGCCTCCCTATTTTTCTTTCCTGCTTTCATATAAAACGTATTCTACGCCTCCATCTTTGACAAGTCTCCCTCGTACCCCTTCCCAGCTCTGTAAAAGTACGTTTCTACCTCTAAGTCAAAAGAGAAAAGTAAAAGGAGGAGTCTGGGGTGAGAGAACGAGTGTGTGCATGCCTTTCCTTGTTAATTCTTGGACCGTTCCCAGATGTACACAGTGTATCTTAATCATTCCCCACTCTCTCCCTCTACCCCTCCTCCCACCCTCTCCCCAGTTATCTCCCTTCCCAATTATAGTTCCTCCTGAGACTAGACAGATCCTTACAAAAAGTGTTTTTCAGTCTTAATTTAAAGATCTCATGATATTAATACCAGGACCAAAAAGCCTGAAGGTCATAACCAGAAAACAGTATAGCTGACCGTATCATCATAGACGAGGCATTGTTACAAAACCCAAGTTTCAGAATGTCCTGCTGCAGTGTCAGAAATCTTTTCACTGATTTCAATGGAATATTAAACTCTAGTACGTTCTTCTCCAACCTCGCCTGCGTTAGCTTGCACTCCTTCTTCCCCCCCAGCTGCCAGTAGCTTGCTCCTCCCTATCCCTCCAGGTAAATCTTTTGAAGAGTCTGGTCTTCTGCTCCTTGCCATAGCAAAACCACTGAGGGAGCTGCCGGTGGTTCTGCTACCGATGTCAGCAGCATGACTGCTCCCCAAAGCAGGAAGTAGAGAAGGAGACAGGGTAAGTGTAAACCAATAGTCCTGCCTTGCACTTCTAGTAGCATTAAGTTTGAACTAACCTAAGAAATTACTTAAAAACAAAACAACAACAAAAAACCAAAATCAAACCATCACAAATTGGACTTGTCTGTGGATTAAGATCCAGAGTGCAAAATGAAGGCACACACATCTTCCTCCATGGAAACATGATTCCTGAAGTTGCTTAGGACAAAAAGGCTAATCTAGAACTTAGAGGAATTTAGGAAGCCAACAAACCAGAGCGTTTGGGTTTTAGTGTCTTAGATATTTTGTGTAAGACAATGGCTTTGTGTTTTTGTAAAATAGAATGAAAGTCTGGATTTTCTTAATTAAATTATATCTGAACTATCTGAATGTGACGTTGGCCAGGGTTGGTTGGCAACAATCCTTAGCACCTACATGTGTACTAAAGATCACTTACACCGGGTAATGGTGGGGAGGTTTCTTGGTCATTAAAATCTGTTTCTTCTAAGATTTAGTTTACCTTCCCTTTTCATGAACCAGGTGTGTTGATGTGGCTGGCAACTTTTGTTTTCCTTCTTTTTAACTACAGCCAAGTCTTCATTATCCTGAGTGATGACTTAGTCTCCTGTTTACTGATGAGATAGAGTGAGCATTTTATTTTTTTTAATGCAAAATCATATAGAAATGTTTAATGGCCACACTTTTGTGAAGAATGTTGTGTATCTTGGGGGGTGAGCTAAAATCATTGAAGAAATCAAGAGGAGGTATCGGAATACACAGACCTATCTGCTGATGATACTCAGTGTGGGAAACCCACACAGGAATAATGGAGAGGTGGCTGTAGTCCTCTCTTGGGTGCTTTACTTTGTTCCAAAGTGTGAGATCCTGCTTTTTGGAGTTAATAATTGAATAATTTTATTTTAGAACTTAAGGCAACTTTGTTCCGGCTTTTCCTAGTGTGGACATCAACAGCACCTGCTAAATTTCCCCTTTGAACTTTTCTGAATTATTTTTTCTATGCTGTGCTGTTGTTTCTCTTTACATACTAAATCACAGTTGGTGTACATTTAAAAAGAAAGCTTGTTCTGACACTACGTAGACAGAGATTCTGTAGTTTTTCTTCTATTATTTGTTACAAATTATACTATCTTCTTTTTTTTCTTCTGCGTGAAAATAAACTTGTTTAGGAACCTTGAAAGCGTCTCCAAATAATTAGTGCAAAATCATTCTATTGGTGGGTTTTCTTAGCTGACTTAACTCAAGTATTTCTTTGCTATTTGCCAAATTACAGATTATAAGAAATGGAAATAAAATGGTCACATGAAGAATTTCAGTATCCAAAAAAGAAAATTGAAGTACCTCTCTTGAATAAAATTTAGCTAAAACAGTAAACAGTACATCAGTTTCAAGAACTGATCAACTTCACAGCCTAAATCAGGAGCAAATGTCTATTGGCAGGACAAAGCCCTAGCAGTGTGCCTCTCCATTTCCTTTGCTGCTTCCTCCCTTATAAAGTTTAGTTCATTGTGAGCTATACCCGCTGTGGTAGGATATTCTACTTGCTGCAATAGTGGTACTAAAGTGTCAGGTCAGAGACTGCATGTCATGGATGAACACAGGAAACCTTCCTCCTATTTCAGTGCTAAGAAGGGATGATCACACGTTTAGCAGAGCAGGTAATTTTCAGCAATGATATTGGTAGAAAACAACAAATCCTATATTCTTTCCTACTCAAGAGTTCGTTAAGTGTGTATGTGATACTGGACTATACTAAGAAAGAGTTGTCTGTCTTCAATTAATTTATAATTTTGTCAGCCAACCAAAAAACAGTGAAAATGAAGCATGTTTTTACATCAGACACTTATAAAAAGACTGAGTTTTTTTTTCTAGGAAATCCTTTTAAATTTAATTTAAATTCATGTGTTTGTTTTAAAACCAATGTTGGTGACTATCTCAAGTAGCCTGTCCTTTTTTCTGATAGCTCACCTAGCGAGCAGAGAGATAAGTAACTAATCCAAGCTAAATCCATTATTTCAGTAACCTAGAGGGACTAGGGATACGTGCAGTTCAACCATTTAGTAGTGGTGAAAACTGGGTTTTCCAGTAATGTCTTTGCATTATTCAAAGTTTTTCAAAAACATCAAACTTCTGAATTCTCTTAGAGCTTAGCTGCAAATAAATATTTATGAATGCCATGCATCCATGTGGCTATATTCATTCTATGGGAATGTGATGCAAACATTGCTCAACACAGGTTAAATCTGAAAATACAAACCCTTTTGGATATTAGTGAGAGCTGTAACAAAGAACAGTTAAATTATATGTAGAGTTCAAAGAGTTCATTAAGTGATGGCAAATAACTTTCTACTTCATAATTTCCCCAAAGTCTTTGCTAGTGTTTAATAAACAGGTATCATCTTGAAAATTTCTGCATTGTTTAGTTTTATAGAAAATGTATACTGTGAAAACTTATGTGGTCTATGAATATTTTACTTTAAAATCCTTTTATATTTTATTGATGGTGGTAAATCTCATTTTGTGAAATGCTAACATGTTAACAGTTAGATCCCCAGTCTATTAGGTTAGGTGTTTCCTCGTTTTCATGCATTCCAGTTAAATTGATATAGAGAGAGAGATCAGGAAACTTGAGTTTATATGCAAGCGTAAATAACTAAAACTCATTATTGTAGTAAAACTCTTTACAAGTAGTAACACCAATAAAATTATCTCTTTAGAATCCCTTTAATGGTATCTAATCCAAAAAATTGAGGTTCAGTATGACTCCCTGAGGTTGTTAGGACATGACTTGGGGAGCCTTTGATTGAACACACGACCCCTTGTTCTGTCTGGAACACAGATGAGCTGTGTCTACATATTAAACTCAGTGTCTTGTAGCCTAGTAGACAATTGACAGAAAAAAATAATCAATGTTATAGATAGAACCTTAAAAACCATGTTTACCAGAGAAGAATTTGGAAAACTCAGTAGCCTTTCTCTATCTAAACTTTCTGTGACAGCAAACTCATACTTTTTTCTCCTTCTCCCATCAGAATAGTTTGTCATGCTTTTTAATACCTTTAAATTATTTTTAAAGAATTAATTTCAACTTAAACCAAAGACTGATTAATAAAAAGTAAACAGTTTTCATGAGTATATTTAATTTTTTCCTTCCAGAACTTGAAGAATCTAGACAGAAATGCCCACCCTGCTGGTATAAGTTTGCTAACACATGCCTGATTTGGGACTGCTGTAAGCCATGGTTAAAGGTAAAGCACCTGGTCAACCTGGTAGTGATGGACCCATTTGTGGACCTGGCCATCACCATCTGCATTGTGTTAAACACACTCTTCATGGCCATGGAGCACTACCCCATGACGGAGCAGTTCAGCAGCGTGCTGTCTGTGGGGAATTTGGTAAGAATCCTCAAAGGTTTGTCTTCCTACAGGGTCATCATTGCTTTTGTAATTTTACATGTCACTGTCAAATAAAATACCAAATAATTGATTATGTTCATTAAGATACCAAAAGTTTAACATGTTTTATAGTAATAAAAATAAATTGCTAACCTTTAATATGATGCAAAAGATTCAGAGGCTTTATGAATAATTTGATTCAGAAATGAATTGAAATTCATTCTTTAATGAATTCAGTGATGATTGAATTCTATGGTGATTGAACCTCTATGATGGTTATGACTAGGTTATAGAGGCTCACATCCCAAAACTTGGGAAGACAGGAGGATCAGAGCAAGCTGTGCTACAGAGGGACATTATATTAGGAAAAAACACGATAGGGCCATCAAGATGGCTTAGTAGGTAAAGGCACTTGCCACCAAGTCTGATGACCTGAGTTCAACCCAGGAACCACATGGTGGAAAGAGAGAATGGACTCCTATAAGTGTCCTCTTACCTTCGCATTTGTCCACACACATACATGCTCATACACACATACACACACACACACACACACACACACACACACACACACAAATTTTAAAAGTTAATGAAAAAAATGAAAACAGAAAAAAACAAAAAACAAGATTAGGTTATGAACTGTAGACTATATACATATAATATGAAATGCTTACTAAGTTCTCATGAACCTTGAACATATATTCTAAAAGTTTAATATAACTTTTAGTCTTGAATTAAGTGCTATATATATTTTATTATATTTCTGACAAGTCTTATAGTTCATGATTATTGGCCATATGTTTTTGTATCAAGTACTATGTATTATTTAATTTAGTCTCCCTCTGTGTCTCTCTCTCTGTCTCTCTTTCTCTCCTCTCCTCTCTCTCAGTCTATGCCTCTCTATGTCTTCTGTCTCTCTCTCTGTCTCTCCCTCCACCCCACAGTCTTGAGGTAAATACTACGACTGTTCATATTTTATGGCTGGGTATACTGTACCCATGAGAAATTGATAAAGCAGCTGAACGTCTGAAGACACTATTGGAAAGTCTATCAGGGAGCCTAAGATTTATTTGGGGGATTATTGTACACTTTGGTCCCAAACCACAGAAGCATAGATTAGGAAAAGAAAATGATGCTACTTAGTCCGAATTGCTGACATAAGAATCTCCACAACTAAGGCTGAAGAGATGGCTCAGGGGTTAAGAGTTCTGGCTGCTCTTCTGGGTTCAGTTCCAAACACCCACATGGCAGCTAACCGGCAACTATAACTTCAGTTCCAGGGGATCTGTCACCCTCTTCTGGCCTCTGTGAGCACTGCATGCAGGGTACATAATTATACATGTGGGCAAAGCACTCATACACATAAAAAATAAATATATATAAAAAGATAAGTAAATAAAAGAATCCCCACAACACTACTACTAAGAAATGAGCAAATGATGCAAGAATATTTCATCAAGGTGGGTATTAAAATAAATATCAAATGAGTTTAAGCACAAATAAGGGAATTTGCTCCCTCAAGTAATTAAAATTGTTTTGGTTCTGTGCTGCTAGATCAAAGTTCTCAGTATCAGTAGGAATATTCATCTTGTGCTACCTTTTCCCAGTGTTTCCTTTCATTGTTGGCAATGATATGTCAGTTTTCTTTGAACAGTATAAGCTCCCTGAAAGATTGTGTTTCCTGACTTCATAAGACCCAAGAATTAAATATCAGAATGATTGTAGCTACATGGCCAACTCCAAGCCAATTAGTCACTGGTTCTGAGATGAAAATACCATCTTGGGACAAACAGGAATCATAACTTATCACTGGAAGCAAATAAAATGAGGCTTATAAAGCAAAAAATTGGATGTCTTTACCAGAAGAAAGGAAAGTAGATGCTGGAGAGACATAAGACAAATATGGAAATTTCACTAAGTACACTTGTCCTGTCTTTGCACTGGGGAACATCTGGGGACACTGACTTGACACAGTGGGTCTTAAACCCAGGACAGAATATATGGGTTCCAGTGGGGAGGGGTGTGTGTGTGTGTGTGTGTGTGTGTGTGTGTGGCTATAACGAAGATTCAGATTGTTTGAGATATTCGGTATGAAATACAACAAAATTTAATAAAACTAACTTAAAAAAAAAAGAAAAAAAGTAAGATTTGAGACTGGCGATGAATCAGCCATTAATGCTCTTGCAGAGGACCCAGGTCTGAATTCCAGCACCCACATAGTGGCCAACAACCATCTATAACTCCAGTTCTAGGGGATATGACACCCTCTTCTGACCTCCACAGGCATTGTGAGACATTGTGTACTTATATACATGCAGGAAATATATTCATACACATAAAAATAAAAAATAAATATAAAAAAAGAAAGATGAGATTTGTGTTTGAGGTGAATCGTCAAACAGCAGAATATGTATTGGGAGGACAAACACCTTAAGTGCATGTGAAACATTCCCCCAAGAAAGCTATGTGTTAGGTCATAAAAGTGAGCTCAGTAGAGGCTGGAGAGATGGCTCAGTGATTAGGAGCACTGGCTGCTCTTGCAAAGGACCCAGGTCAATTCCCAGCACCCACATAGCTACTAACAACTGTATGTAACTCCAGTTCCAGGGGATCCAACTCCCCCTTCTGACCTCCACAGGCATTGCACAACAAGGGAGCTACATGCATGCAAACAATACACTTATACACATAAAAAATAAAAATGGTAAGTAAAATATTTTTTAAAAAGCTCAGTAAACTTAAAGGTTTAAAATTATACAAAGTATTTTTCTGACCAAAATGAAAGTATAAATGCATAGTAGAAGTAAATTTAGAAAATTCACAGACATGGGAATTAAACAACTTAACTCTTAAATGACTGATGGGTTTAACTATTAGTTATAAGTTACATGATATTTTAAGACGAATGAAAAGAAAACATGCCAAACAGAAACTATGGGAGTCAGCTTAAATAGCGTTCCCAAATTCATGATGCAAATGCCTATGATAACAAAAGATTCTCAGATCAATAAAATTAGAAGAAAGAAAGAAAGCTCAAAGTTTAACAGGAAGAAAATAACAAAAATAGAAAAAGAATAGACAAAACTAATAATTCCAGTAGTTGATTCTTCAATGTGATCAGCAGAACAAACAAATCTTTAAGCTCACCAAGACAAAAGAGAGCACTCGACAACTTACATGAAGGCCTCATCGGAATTTTGTGTAGTAACCCATGCAGAGTATCTACCATCCAGCTTTTTAAAAAATAATATTTTACAAACTGTGTTATAACATAGTAGGTTTGCGTATGGCTCTTTCACCCACCCTTTGTTATGGTTAACCCTCCCTCCTCCTTACATCCCCTGTGCTCCCACTTCTCTCCCTGCTTAAACTGCTCCAACCACCTCCTCTATTTTCATTTTACCTATATACTTCTATCGAGAGAGAGTTTTTATCGTCAGTTATGCATCCACAGCTGAGCCCACCAGGCTCGAATAGATAGCTAACCCATGCACACATGGCCTTGGTTAAACTCAGTAAGTCAAAAAACGAAACTGACATGAATGTGGGGAAGGGATTTGTAGAAAGAAGAGGGGAGTAACGGGTGGGAAGTGAGAGTAATTAGGATCCATTTTATGCATGTATGAAAATGTCAGTGATCAAATTTAATTAATAATTTAAAAAAGAGCACTCAAATTACTGAAATCAGGAATGAAAAGGGGTTATCACCATAGAGCTTATAGCAATAAAAATGGAGAATGCTTAATTTTAGAAACAAATTTTACCATCTGGATGAAAAGGGAAAATTCCTAGAGCGTAACAACTGACAAGATAAAACAGAAAATCTATTGAGTTGGTTAGCTCTGTTTCATTTTCAGGTTTTTAAATTAATTTTAACAGTGTGAGGTGATGAGTTTCATTATGAAATTTTCATGTATGTATATCATTGTACCTTGTTCTCATTAACCCCTCACCATCCTTCACCTTTACCTCCCCCACTCTTCCTTTGCTTGTCCTGGTCCCTTTACTACCTCCCTCAAATAGCCTCCTCCTGCTTTTTTGTCACACACACACACACACACACACACACACACACACACACACACGTATAGAATCTGCAGATAGATAGATAGATAGATATAGATATAGATATAGTCTTTCTTTCCCCCCCTTACTGTCTCTTGCTCAATGATCCTCTCTCTCCTTTTATGTCTTTTCTCCCCATAGTCCTCCTACTTTTATGTCCTGTGTGTGTGTGTGTGTGTGTGTTTGTGTGTGTGTGTGTGTGTGTATGTGTGTGTATGTATAAACCTAGATTCTACATATGCAGGAAAACATACTTGTTTCTGGCTGTGGCTCATTGTACCTAACATGGTGATCTCCAGTTGCCTCCATTTTCTGGAATGTGACACAATCTTTTTCTTCTTTATGACAGAATAAATTTCCTTGTATATATGTACCACATTTTCCAACCATTCATTTGTTAATGGACATGTAGATTGATTCCATATCTTGGCTGTTATGAATAGCATAGCAGTAAATATAGTCAGGCAACCTCCTCTGTGCTGTGCTGACTTAGACTTCCTGAGGTGTTACCCAAGAGTGTCATTCCTTGATGACCTGCTACCTTTAGTTCTAGGTTTTGAAGAAATTTGTGCTGCCACAGTGGCTGTGGCCTGGTTGCATTTTCACCAGCAGTGAAGTTCTTTTCCCACATCCTCGCCAGCATTTGTTGTCATTTGTTTTTTCTTGTGATAAGTTACTTGAGCTGTTTAAAATCTGAGATTATTAATCCCTGTTCAGACAGACAGTTTGCAAATAAATTCTCCCATTCTGTACATTGTCTCTTAGCTCTCAATTATCCCCTTGGCTGTGTAAAAGCTTTTTTAGTCCTGAATAACCCCCTTGTCTGTTTTGCTTCTGCTTCCTGTGCTTTTGGGATATCATACAAACATTCTCATACAGTCCAATGTCTAAAACATTTATCTTGTGTTTCCATCTTACTTCTTCTGTGTTTTAGATATTACATTTAAGTCTTTAGTTTACTTCGAACTGATTTTTTTAACTCATGAGGGGTAGGGGTATAATTTTATGTGGATGAATGCATGTGGATAGCCAGTTTCTCGGCACCCATTATTCAAAAAAAATTCTTTCATCAATATTTCTCAAAAGGCCGATAAGTACATGAACAAATGTTGAATGTTGTCAATCATCATAGAAATACAAATCAAAAACACAGTGGGAATCGGTTCACTCCCATTCGAATAACCACATCAGAAAAGCAAAAAATGTCAAGGGTGTAGAAGACAAGGAACTCCTGCATATTGTTAGAGGCGGTGTAAGTTAAAATACCTTGGTAGGAAATAGTGTGGCGAGTCTGCCAAAAAACTAAAATAAAACTACTATATATTCCATCAGTACCACTGCTAGGTAAATATGCAAAGGAATGGAAATCACTGTGGTTTAATCAGCCAACAGCAACAAAGACAGACAAGGAAACGGGGGACTGGACAACAGCCCAGGTTTAATATGGGCAGGGGGACCTGAAAAAGGGAGACACCAGAGTGCTCACTGTTGCCTTTCAGACTAGGGTGATTATAGAAAAAGGGGAAAGGAGGACAAGAGATGAAAAGTTTCTGACTATAACCAGGGAGTGGTAAGTAAAAGAGTGTCAGATGATCCATAACATGCTAAGCATCTCTCCTGGCCAGCTGTTACTAGGGTCCATGGGTGGTGAGAGCAGGTATCTGGAGAAAAAAAATTATTTGAGCTCTGGAAGCCAAATTACTTTAGTTTTGAGAATTGTCACAGTTCAACCAAAATGGAGGAGCTTTACAAAGTGGCCCTGGCTACAGCTGTGTTAAGGAGACATTTTCACTTCCATATATTTGCAATGCTATTCATAATAGTCAAGAAATAGAGATAGCTTTACACACACACACACACACACACACACACACACACACACACACCACAGAATAAATAAATATAATAAAAATAAATAAAGAAGAAAACAATATTATCAACAGAATTTATGAAAAATATAAATGTATGGGATGAAATGAAGCTCACCTCCACTTGTAAAAATCAGCATGAATGGTAACCCAGGCATAAAATCTGAAACAAGAAAGATTCTGAAATAAAATGTAAGAGAACATCTTTGAGAACTTAGAGTAGGCAAATATATTTGAAAAAGATACATAATGTGCTGCACATTATGCAAATGAGTATTTTAGTATTAAATAATCAATGGCATTCTACATGAAAATGAAAAATGAAACTGTTAATACAGTCATTGGTGTATTTCAATTTGAATAATTCAAATATCTGGGAAATTCACTAAGACTCTCGTGTTTGTTCACTGATCTAAGTAGAGAGAGATTCCTTTTACTGAGTGAGGAGATGTGAGAAAAGCAAGGTTGTGGAGTGACATGGTAAATTTTACACCTGTTGAATGTGAAGTGTCAATGAGGTACTTAACCTAATGGATGTGTAGAATCAGTGTGTAGCCTTGAATTCTGGAGTTACGCTTGAACAGAGCAATGGATCTTAAAATCTAGTTATTAAAATGTCACATTACAAAAGAGAAAGTGAGAGTAAAAGTGTCTTAGAGAGACTGGAAAATTCCAATACTGAATAATTTGTTAGAGGAAGAGCAGCAAAAAGGAAACATCCAGGCAGGAACGAACTTCAAAACTAAAGACAGAACATCCACGTCAACAGGAACAGAAAACAATATAAAAAACTTCAAAGAGAGTAGTTTAGTCAAACAAATTCCACAATTAACTGACAATTACTTTAGTGAAGTTGATTAAAGCTGTTTGTATTGATTGCTTATTTGTGGGAACGTTAAAGAAGAAGCTGATAAAAGGAAAATGAGGCTGAGACCATTTTGATTCACTTAAGAAAGAAAAAGCCATTCCAGAATTGAAGTATTCAAGGTAGGCTCTTGAGCAGAGTGTACCACTCCACTTCGCCACAGCTTACAGAGTACAGCCAGGGGAAAGAAGTTTCACACAGAGACAACCTGCTTGGCTTATAGTCGGCCTTCACCTAAGAGCTGGATGGGCCTCTTGTGCTCATGTCTTAATATGATCGTGCTTTTTGACAGCTCTAAGCTCTTGATTGGTTTCATGGATATTCAGCTACTGTGGTTAGCTGAGACTCAGAAGCTTGGTTACAAAGCATACATTCTAAGGCTAGTTGACAATTTGTCTACAAATCAAGCTAGCTTGCAGTTCACTCTGTAAGGTGGCCACTTTGGACCAAACTTGTTCTTAAATACAGAGACTTAAATCCAAATTTACTTTAGTTCAATGCAATTGTTTGAAGAAATGAAGAAACATTGCTCGTGGATTTAGCACACAACCTCTTAAACTAAGTTTGACCATAAGAAGATGATCAACAGCAGTGGTCAGAAGTCGAAATAAAGAGCCAGAGGAGTTTATTTGATGACAGTGTGGCGTTTTTAAGGTGAGGAGAATGGTGGAGTATCTGTTGCTTCCTGTAAAATCCCAATGGGAAGCTGCCAGTAGAGGGAACAGGTTGAAACTACAGGCCACTTAACAAAGCAAATGCCTCATAAAGTCTAAGAGACAACCAACACAAAAGCCCAGTTGACTAACTTCAATAACCTATGAGAAGCATTAAAAGTAAATGATAGGAAAAGTTAAAGGCTACACGGAGGAAAAAGAAGGTTCAAAGTAATTGTACAAAATGAATGAAACTGGAACACACTGCTTCCCTTTTGTTGGCAGAATTAACTTTTTAAAAAGAACATCTTACAATCTGCAGGCCCACCAGTGACCGTGTTTATTACAGTTTACATGAAGCCTCCTTAACAACAGTTTCATCTACAGGGCTGTTAAAGGTAGCCAACATATTGCATTTGGTGACTGCAGTCTGTGCTTCTGAGTACATATTAGATGAGTTTTTGGAGGACTAGAAAGAACAAAGGCAGAGCACGGCAGTTGACCACACCAAAATCAGGGTGTTAATTTTACTACCTGAGTCTATACTTTATCACTTGGTAAACCTTAAACATAATGAATAGTTAAATATTGGGTTAATATAAAACATGTGAGACCACCAATTTGTTAGATTCAAAGTAATCTTTATAAAACTGAGAATTTGTGATTTTATTTTCTATAAGTTACTTTGCTCTAACTCAAGAGTCTTCACTGCTTAATCAACTATGTTTCACATTTAGGTCTTCACTGGAATCTTCACAGCAGAAATGTTTCTCAAAATAATAGCAATGGACCCATATTACTACTTTCAAGAAGGCTGGAATATCTTTGATGGTTTCATTGTGAGCCTTAGTTTAATGGAACTTGGCTTGGCAAATGTGGAAGGATTGTCAGTCCTCCGATCATTCCGCCTGGTAATTAACAAGCAGTGTTCATATTTACTTTGTTTTTAGTCTTCATTCTTATCTAATAGCATGTTCAAGATTCTTCACAATTACATTATTTGAAAACATATAAACCTAGAGTGACCTCTGAGTCATAGTTTCCTCTTCATCATAGCTTTGAGGAGGAGCTTGTTTATTCCAGTGAACAGTTGATGGTTCTCTCCCTAATGGGCCAATGGCAGGTTTAATGGAGCAGAAAAGGGGAATCACACATAAATCCACATCACGGTCAGCAATATCAACTCAGTTATCTGAGGTTTTTGTACCATGCATAACACTTCCTTGGGACTTTGGATTGCCAACTTTGTCCCCATAGAAGTTTACACTTGAAATAGGGGACAGTGCACAGAGGAGGAGAATAAAAAGACAGAGCTCAATGAATATTTTTTCTTCAGTCAGAACCAAGATCTACCACATCCTCTCTCTGAAATAAGCTGCCTATACTATATTTTGATAATTTTAAATAAAATGTATTTATTTGAACTTCGTATTTCCTAATTATTGGTGTCTTTTAAAATTAAAAGACAAAATATGATTTGACACATTTCCATTGAGAATTTGATATGTTTTATTGTGAATGTTACTTTTTGTATGTAGTTACCAAAGACAGACTTCTGTAGGTAATTTTTGTTAAAGCTTATGAAGCTCAAGATTTTGATTTGATATCTGTTTGGAACTTGTTTTTTTTAACAATATGTATTTTATTGAATTTTTGAGAATTTTATACATCTTAATCATATTTGTACAATCTCCCCTATCTGCACCTGCCCCAGATCTCCTCCCACTGGATTTTATGCATTCCATCATATATTTTAAGGTCTATTGAGTCAAGTTTATATCCCCAGATGAGCTTGGAACTTCTTTTATGGCTTTAAAGATTCAAATTTGAGTTGAGATCCTCAGGACAGCATGCTATCTCTTGCTAGTCTACAGTGAGAGTCAAGACTCTAAAACTAAAAGGGTGCGGAATTAGAGACAACAGTCAGAGAGATGATTATATGACAAGTAATATGGACAGATACCTTTTTTAAAAAAAGAATGTTTAGTAAACCTTTGTGACAATTGATGCAATTTAGGGAAACAGGGTGCATTAGCATCTTGCTTAATGTACCAGGCTCATTTGCATAAGTTATCTCTTGAAATGAATTAAGCACTTCATTGCTTACACTTACTCCTCTGAGTCACTTAGATGCCATTAAATAATGCAGTACTCTCTGCCTGACATTTACTTAAGCATCAGAAATAAAATGTAGCAACTATTTAGCTGAGAATGATGCTTTAGAGGCCTTTGCAAACTAATACCACCGATGTGTCAAGTACAGTAACAAAGAGGCATTTCCATACTGTAATGACTTATCCTTAATTCACTGAAGAAACCAATGTTGAAAAATGCACCTTTTTACTTGAGTCCAACCATTTCTCCCTCTAATATAAATCTTAAAAATTATAGCTGAATATTATAGCAAGGGAAGGCTATAGTGAGATTAAAATCATGTAAACACTCAAAGATGTTAGTTCACCCTTCTCTGTAACTTATGCAGTTGGAGTGTTACTGTTATTTGCACTTATGTATTTGAATATAATATTTCAACTATGCAGAAAAATTTAGTCACTCTGGGCTGTTGAATAATGTCTCTACTTCTCTGAAAATAAGTCTCTGTGAATTAACTCCATGCCTCTTAAATATCTTAATTCGTTTAAAATAAAACTGTTTTGAAAGCCTGTGTACAGTTTGGGAAAAATTATCATATTTTATTATTAAAATGCCAATCGAAAGCCATGTGATATAATTATTTTATTTACAATGTGAACTATTTCAGAACAAAAATGGCCCAATTGTATCAAATATCTGCTTCATTTGCTAGATAATACTTTAACACATGACTAATTCTACAATTGAGGCAGATTTTCTGTAAATTTCTGCTGTAATTAAGAACACAGATGGTTCTGTAATGCACAACACTAACACCATTCTCCCCGTTTCTTCCCAGCTCCGAGTGTTCAAGTTGGCAAAATCCTGGCCCACACTGAATATGCTGATAAAGATCATCGGCAATTCCGTGGGGGCGCTGGGAAACCTCACCCTGGTGTTGGCCATCATCGTCTTCATTTTTGCGGTGGTCGGCATGCAGCTCTTTGGGAAGAGCTACAAGGAGTGTGTCTGTAAGATTTCCAATGACTGTGAGCTCCCGCGCTGGCATATGCATGACTTCTTCCACTCCTTCCTGATCGTGTTCCGCGTGCTGTGCGGAGAGTGGATAGAGACCATGTGGGACTGCATGGAGGTTGCGGGGCAAACCATGTGTCTTACTGTCTTCATGATGGTCATGGTGATTGGGAACCTTGTGGTATGTAGTACAAACACTTTTCTTATTTTCAGTAAAAGATAATGGGATTGTAGTTATTTTTATATCAAGTTCATTTCCAGTTCTCCATTGTACATTATTACAGGAGTTACACATGATTCAAACTACTGTAATCTGAACACCCTCAAAATGCCTCCTGAGCCAGAGTTGTTCTTCATCACCCTTCCCCTACCTATTCCATACTTTAGTATGGAACTATAGCTAAAATAAGTGATTTGTTTTATTTCTAAATATCAACCATGGTTATCTTTTGAAAATGTTTCAAATTTAGGGTTCCTAGAAATTCAAATTTTAAAACTACTAGTCATATCAATTCAATAATAGCATATACCATGTTTACTCTGTGCTGCCGTATTATGGCTATAACTTAATTAAAAAAACAACCTGACAGTGTCCACTTAAAGGCCGAGAACAGAACTGAATTTCTGAGAACTGTTCCTTCAGATTTCTCTTGGAGCTGTGCTCTCCAATAAGGGCTTCACTTATTCTTTTACTGAAGCAGTATATCCAACATGAAATGGGGAAGTAATAGACCCTGATCTGAGAATTATGTCCCTTCTGACCCTTACCACACTCACAACCACAAACACACTATCAAATTAATCCCATCCATTGTTTGCAGCACAAATGGCATAATCTTCGTACCTCCATTGCTTGCAGTGCTTTTGATAGTCACCTTATACACACACCCATGTATACACAATCCTAGGTCCAGGGCAAGGAAGGGTCATGAGCTCAAGGCTCAGTGAGCTTGTCTACATTATAAACAAGCTAGCATAAGATTAACTTTTTGGTTAGGTAAAGTCATCTGTCTAGAGTATGTCAATATTGTAAAAGTCATTACTACAGCATTCAGAGCACTTTGTGCTTAAAAACTACAGTATGAGTCTGTAACATTGACTTAAGAAACATTAATTATCATTTCTGCATAAAATTAACTATGTTCAGTACAAACGTGATGAACTTAGGAAGCATGGGAAAATAATAGGAAGATAAATATGACACACTGTTAGGACATTCGCTGACATGAGAGTAAAATAGGAATGTGTGTTCCTAGAATACATGTTCAATAAGTGAAAACAAAGCACAGTATCTCAGTGTCACAAAACGGAGATACTGGTTTGATACAAGGCTCATCCTGGAAGTTTATATTAAAGAGGTTGAACCTGAAATCCTGAAATATCTATGATTGCACTGTAAAATGTAGGTTGCAGGAAGAAGGGTGATCGTCCCCTAATTAGGGAAGAGAATACTCAGTGCTGGGAACAGAGGGTTGTAGACTGTAAGAAGGAGCAAGCAGCTATGCAGCTTCTGTGGATCAGGAGTTAGGTATCAAGTTATCTGGGTGGTTCCAGCTCAGGGTCAGTCATGAGACTGCTGTCAAGATGTTTATACTGAGGCCATAGTCATCTTGATTAGGACTCAAGGACCAGCTTCCAAGAAGGCTCTATCTCGTGGCAGTTGACAAGTGGTCCCAGTATATATTGATTGAAGGTCTTAGTTCTTCTCTGTCTGGGCCTCTCCAACGACTGCTGGATGTCCTCATTATAGAGCATTTGGCTTCCTCCAGTACAGGTAAAGCCAGAGGGAGGGTGAGAACATGGTCTTCCTTATGTTCTAATCTTGAAAATCACACTCTATCACTGTGTCATGATCTGTTTACAAATAGCTACTTAGTAAATGGAGCTCCTATGTAATAGGAAATTAATTTTTAAGGGAAGATTATCAAGTAATTTACTATCATATTTTAAAATAAAGTTTAAAATGTTTGCTTTTAGGAAAGTATATAAGATTACATAGAACAGAAGAAAATGGTCATAGAGTCATATGAACAGAAACAAAGAAAGATTTATGCCTTTAGTCTAGATTTGATTTTGTTTCTTTTTTTTTGGTCTTTGAGACAGGGTCTCCCTATAGCCCCAGCTGTCCTGAAACTCACGATGTAGGTCAGGCTGGCCTTGAACACACAGAGATCCGCCTGCCTCTGCCTCCAGAGCTGGGATTAAAGGCTTGCAGCACAACCCCCGGCTTTCATTTCTTATGTATAGTTGGCATATACTGGAAAAGAGAAAGACCAAAGTTCTTTATGACAACAGAAAATGGTTGGACATAAACGGAGTTCAGAGTGGGAATAGTAAAAAGAAAGCTAACATAAAACTATGTAGAGTTTAATTGCTAAAAAGGCTGACTATGCATAACAAAAATAAATTTTCCTTTCAGCAATTCAAAGCTACAGAAAACTTTAAAAATCAGGAATTAATGGTGAACAGGTGATATTTGATGACATTTATGTCAAGGACACAGAGTAACTTGTTCCACTTCCTGTAATTTTTTTTCTTTCTCTGTTTGCTGGAAAGATGGAAAGTCCCCCAATAGAAAGCTTGCATAACTTCCTTTCAGTGTGGGCAAATTGTCCTATGGGTCTCCCCCAGTAGCTGTGAGCAATGGTTGCCAGAGCTAGTCCACAGGCAATCAAGGAACAGGGCTAAGACTGCACATCCGCAAACCAGGGTTTTCAAGAGCCATCATAGGATGCCAGTTTCTGTAAGTGGAGTGCAGCATATTGAAGGGTTATGAAGGGTTAAGTTTCTTCACCAGGTTGGGAATAGAATGTCGAAAAGTATTATCATATACAATAAAAGTTAATCTTTTACCTCCCCCTGCTCACATTTTCCTTCCTTATAAAAGAGCTGATTTTACTCAGTGAGTTGACTATCCATGAACTTTAGGGAAAAAAGTTTCAAGACTGATAAGCTGTTTCTTTTTTTAAAAAATTATTTCTTTAATAACCACATGATTAGAAGAAGCAGTTCATTACAGCATTAACATATTCAATAACAATTTCCAGAGCAAAGATGCATGTCTTTCAAAATTGGCTGTAGATTTTTGGGTTCACAGTTGAATTAATACAGTTATACAATATTGAACTCAGTATAAACCCTATAAGACATAAAATTGAATGAGGTTTTAAACTTTTAAAAAGATGCCCATACCATTTTAAAATATACTGTTTCATACAGAAAAGCTCATTTTTAATGCTACTAACACTTAGATGTTTGCACATATGTCTCTAATCTCTATGTATTTGATTATAACTAGTCACAGGCAGTTACTTTTTGAGATCCTTGGAATCTGAGCATGGATATAAAGTCATCAGATAGATTTCAGTGGTAACGTTTTTCACCTCTACTAATTAACATGAAGCAAATTTTTATGCTTCTTGCTCAAATATAAATCATTTTCTGTTGATATTTTTGTGTGTTGTTTCATACAGAACATCCCAAATAATCTTATTCATCTATATACCCACATCTCAAATGGCACCCTCCGATAGCCTTCCCCGCCTCACCGCCTACTGGAGCCCATATACTCTGTCATCCCTGTTACTGTCCACTGTGTTGTCAGTGCCCCCAGCCATTCCCCAGTGCTTGTCCATCCACTGAATCTAGTCAGCCTATCTAGAGATTCTTGTTATAGGAAGATCAGCTCTTCTTCATCTAGCAGCAATCAGGTGTCAATATTCCTGTAGATAAGATTGGGGTCTGCTATTCATTTCCCAGTTCTATACTGGGTTACTGTCTCAGAATCTCTAGGGCCACTCTGGCCAACAACTCAAAAGAAGGTGTCTCCTGTCTGGCATTGTTTCTTCTTGTGTAACCTTTAGCTATACATATGGACTCTTAAAGAGTTATATTGGCCCCTTTAATCTTTGGTTATACTTTCCTTTTGGGTGTTTAAGACCATATAGTGGACCCAGATAAACCAATTGATTTTTTCTCTTAAGGTCATTTGAGGATCTGTTCCTCAGTGGTCACATGGGCTTGGGGGGAGCCCCTGGTTCCTTTCTTTTACCAGTTCCATCTATGTGAAGATAAAGGTCCTTTATCAAAAATCCTTCTCAACCATGGCTGCTTCAATTGGAAGCATGGAGGACTGGATACCGGTTCAAGTCCATTTGGTAGGGTCTCCGTGGCCTCTGTGATCAAGAGGACAGGTGATTCACCCCAGGTACAGGACATTTTGAGAGATGTTCATAGTCCCCTGGAGCTTAGTCAACCTAGGAGGGCAAGGATCAAAAACTGTCCTTTATGTCCATCTGACCAAGTTAGTATAGGCCTCAAAGTGTGGCTATTAAATATCCAAGAACGTTAGTTCCACCAGTCTGGTACTTTTAATTACCATGCGCCATGTGGGTAAAGCTTGGGCAAAGACCAAACATTCTCAGATAAACCTTGCTTAGACATATATTATATTCCTTGAGCTAGTTGTATGTATAACTTGTCAGTAGGTTGTTTGATTAATATGGTTCCCTCTGGCTTTTCAAAAAACTAGCTAGGCATTATTTATCTCTTGTATTGTCTAATCCTTGCACTATGGTTTCCCCATTTAAAGTGCCCCTATTTTTCCCATTTCTCCCTCAATAATACCCTCCTCCTAAGGTCTAACCTCTCTTGAGCTCCTTCTTTCCCTTTATCCCCAAGGTTTCTTGTATAATCCTCCCTCCCCTCGCCTTAAAATAACCCCATTTTTATCCACATCTCCCTTATTAGGGCCTGTTTCCTACTGTTCTTCTCTTTCAGTGTCTTTCTTTTCCTTTACCTCCCTGGTTCCCTTTCATTATCCTGGTTCCTGTAGTTATGTCTGGATACATACTCATTTATAAGGATTTGGTGCTAGGAATCCACATATGAGGAAGAACATACGTCATTTTTGTGTTTTTTGTTTTTGTTTTTTCTTTCTTTCTGAGTCTGTGTTACTTCACTTAGTATAACAATTTCTAGTTCCATCCATTTGCTTGCAAATTTCATGATTTTCTTTCTTTACTGCTGATTAAAACTCCATCATATAAATGAACCACATTTTCATTATCCACTTGTCAGTTGTGGAACACTTAGGTTGCTTCCATTTCTTAGCTATTGTGAAAACAGCAGCAACAAACATGGATGTACAAGTGTCTCTGCAATAGGATGAGTTCCTTGGGTATATGCCAAGGAGTGGTATAACTGGGTCAAATGGTAGGTTCATTTGTAGTTTTTTAAGAGTTCTCCACACTGCTTTCCATAGGGGTTGAACCAGTTTGCAGCTCCACCAGCAGTGGATGAGTATTTTTCCTTCCCCACATCCTCTCCAACATTTGGTATCACTTGCTCAGTTGATCTTAGCCAGTCTGACTGGGGTAAGGTGAAATCTTAAGGTAGTTTTAATTTACATTTCTCTAATTACTAATGATGTTGCATACCTTTTAAAATGCTTCTTAGCCATCTTTATTTCTTCTTTTGAGAACTCTCTGTTCAGCTCCTTAGCCCATGTTTTAATTGGGTCACTTCCTTCCTTGAGTCTTTGTTTTTTGAATTCGTTATGTATTCTGGATGTCAAACCTCTGTCAGATGCGTTGCTGGTGAAGATTTTTCTCCCATTCTGTGGGTTTTCTCTTCACTTTCTTGGTTGCTTCTTTTGAAATAATACCCAGCACTATCAAATGAAGATTGAATGCTTTTTTAAAAAAAGGATTCTATATGGAGAATGGACAGTTTTTTTTAAGAACATGACCTATGGTAGGCTGACTATTCTGTAGAGGATAGCCCCACACCCTTGAGTATAGGGATAGCACAGATTGACTCATTGGGTTATTAAAAAAGAGGACAGGAAGTTGAGAATGAATGGGGAGGTGGAGGTGGATCTTGTAGGAGTTACGGGGAGGAGTGGGATTGAATGTGGTCAAAATACCTTATGTGAAATTCCCACAGCATTAATTAAAAATATTATATTTAAAAACTAAAGGAAAAGGATTCATTAAACTTATGAGAAATAAATGTGTCATGAGTGAATATTTCTTTTTTTCTGATGATGGAATAGCATTAAATTAACTCATCAATTTGTAAGAGAACATGCAAACATCTAGAAAATCAGTGGCAAACTTTTGATGCTGGCTGTAAATACAGCAGAAATTCACAGAAAGAAATATCGATGAATAAATATGAAATTCCATTTCTTCATGCATTTGGCAATCTTGATAATCAACAGCAAAAACTTCCAAATTGGACAATCAAAACAAAGACACAACTTTTATGTGTTCATTAACTATGGTCTTGCAGAGAGCACTTAAGGCACAGAAGGTTCCATTTTCTCATCTGTAAAATAATAATCCCAGCACATGGGAGGCAGAGGCAGCACGATGTCTGTGTGATGGAGGTCAGCCTGGCCTACATAGTGAGTTCCATGCCAACTTGGGCTACAGGGAGAACCTGTCTCAAAACAAAACAAAACAAAAATGTAAAATAATGAGAATAATCCCAGCTTTACTGAATTACTGTGAGAAATAAATTATATAAATCTTGTAAAATGCTTGGGCTAATGTGTTTACTACATTTCAGTAAAGGTTCCTTTAACTATTATGATTGTCTAGTGTCAGTTCCACTGTGGAGTCTGCTCTAACGCTTCCTTAGGACTTGAAGCAAAAGTCACCCTCTCAGCAAAGGTGTATTGTTTGAGAGGTCACCATGGCGTTCTTTTGCACAGTAGGGAGACAACAGTAAAAAAACAATGCACCAAAGGACCGAACTGGTAAGAAAACAGATGACATAAAGTGTATTTGGTACTCACCATATTCAGGTAGGGCATAACGATTTTTTAAAAGGTATCAAATATAGCTGGACAGTTGGCTCAGCAGTTAAGAACACTGACTGTTCTTGCAGAAGACTTGGGTTCAAATCCCATCACCCACATGGCAGCTAACAACTGTCTGTAACTCCAGTTCCAGGGGATCCGACAGCCTCTTCTGTGCTCCACAAGCATTGTACAACACAGATGCCTGCACTTACATGCAGGCAATATGCACATACACATAAAATAAAATGATAAAACACTTTTTTAAAAACCAATGCATTGTATACTTTAAAATAGCTAGCAAAGAGGAATTTAAATGCTCTCATCAGAAAAAAATAATATTTAAGGTGATAGACATGCTATCATTTATCTTATTTGATCATCACATAATGTGCACATGTCAAAATATTAGAATGTCACTCTACTAAATATATACAATCTAAATATATACAATCATTATATGCCAGTCAAAACTAAAATATAACAAGGAAAACGTCCAATATTGGGCATCACTATGGAAGCATTCATTGATATAGATCAAGAAACACAAATGTATTATTAGTAATGCTCTGCAGTAGAGGAACAGGTGTTACTAATCAGGAGTCGGGAAAGGACAACTGTCAGATGAGACCCAAAATTACCCACCATCTTTCCTGAATCTTATTTGTTTACTGTCATTTTCACTGAAATTTTGCCCTGTCTTCCCCGGGACTCCATTTCTCCACTACCTTTTGCATTTGGCCCCTTCACTGCTATATTTTATTTTGATTCGTGTTTGAATAATCAAGGACTGTGTCGTTCAAGTTCCTGGGACTGTCTGAATCCTTAGTAGTCTGCCTTGTCTGGGGACTTCTTAAAGAGTCACAGTGACACCACCAATTTTACAATCTTTAACTCAATATTAACAAAATTGTTTGTACAGCAACCATTTCTTCATGGTATTTTGAGCCAAAAATAGGATTGCTGATCTGGGAATAAATACATTTTTCTTGAATTAGCAAGTTATCTAAGTGAAAAACTGATGCGAGCTATGAAACTATGTCATATTTAAAAATATCAGAGTTATATTTGGTTCTAGGAATTATAAGAATTATAATAATGGTCAATGTCCTAAGAAATTTGGATTATATGTTCAAAATAACAAGTATCCCAAATAAAACATTTTATTGTAAAGTTGTCTAGATTTTTCTTTCAGAATTGAAATTAATATGGAAATGTCATGCAATGACTTCAGTGATCTTACAATAGCTCCAAAATAAATAGTGTAAATAGTAATTTTTGATGTTGGCCAAGTGTTTTTTTTATTTCTAACTCTTATCCACTGTATCAGGAGACTATGTCTTTAAACAGAAGTATAAAAACAATTCAAATCTTACACCTAAAGTAAAGTGACACTTCCCTGCTGTGTTCTAGGTTCTGAACCTCTTCTTGGCTTTGCTTCTGAGTTCATTCAGCTCTGACAACCTTGCCGCCACGGACGATGATAACGAAATGAACAATCTCCAGATTGCGGTGGGAAGGATGCAGAGGGGAATCGATTTTGTTAAAAGAAAAATACGTGAGTTCATTCAGAAAGCCTTTGTTAGAAAACAGAAAGCATTAGATGAAATCAAACCTCTCGAAGACCTGAATAACAAAAAGGACAGTTGTATTTCCAACCATACCACCATAGAAATAGGCAAAGACCTCAATTATCTCAAAGATGGAAACGGAACGACCAGTGGCATAGGCAGCAGTGTGGAGAAGTACGTGGTGGATGAGAGCGATTACATGTCGTTCATAAACAACCCCAGCCTCACTGTGACGGTCCCCATTGCCGTTGGAGAGTCCGACTTTGAAAATTTGAATACAGAAGAATTCAGCAGTGAATCAGATATGGAGGAAAGCAAAGAGGTAGGGATTTTTAAATTAAGGGATATTTTGGGTTGAGTTTCTGTTGTTTTAACACTCTTAGATATTTTGAAAGTGCAAGTTCCTTTCCTGCAAGAAAGTAGGAAGTATCTACTGCTAACATTTCTATAGTAAAGATGATGATTGATAATGTAATAGTAGATAAAAATAACTAGACAAATAATATATTGACTTATTTTTTCAAATATTCACTTTTGAACTCATTATTATATATTATGAATTTTTCTAAGCACTTGAAAGTTTGAGATTCAGGAAAATGCCTGTTTGTGTACTTTCTTCCTCATCATGGCCCACAGTCATGGTTTCAGTGCGTACTAGAAAAATACCTGCTGGAAAGCGGTTCCTATCCCTATCTGGTTACATTCTTGCGTGTGATGAAATACTTCTTAAAGGAAGTTTATTCAATTTGCCGAGACCTATTAACTCCTTGGAAAGGTGACTGAGACCTCTGCTTGATGTTCTTTAGTTTTATATTTCCTGAAGTTTTTTTGTTGTTGTTTTTTTTTTTTTTTTTTTTTTTTTTTTTTTTTTTTTTTTTTATGGAAGGGAACTTTGTGCTAGGGTACCATGGCACGTGCATTTCTAAACTAAGTGTAGTACATCCTGGGTAAACACACAAAAAGTCTCAACGTGTTACAGAATGCAAACTTCTGCATTACCAGCTCAGTGTCTTAACAATACAGTCTTCGGTTATAAGAAGACTGTGAATACCAGTGTGTGCTTTTGTTTTCTAAGGAATGCTTCAATTAAAGGGAAAACTGAGGCGCTTTTCCTTTTTGCAACGTCTAATTGAATTTCTTTTTGTAGGGTAGATAACTGGGTGGACACATTGGTTGTGGAGATGTTTGGATTAAGTCTACTTTTGTATTTTTGCTAAATTTGATTCTTTATTAGCTGTCTGGAGTGTCTCTGGAATACATAATTTTAAACTTATACCCTAATCAATCCTGGATGCTTTAGCTTTTATGTTATTTTGACTATATTTAATGTAATTCCTGTTACCACTTCTGAATGCCTGTTTTTTTCTGATTGTTTTGGATAATGTTGAAGCCATGCTTGAACGATAATTTTTCAAAGAGAAATTTGGTAGTGTGATACGGTGACCTTCACTGCTTGCCATTCTCACTCCTCACAGGCCTAAGACCAAGCTGGAGCCATCGAGAGTGCAGCTCTGGTGCTTTTTAAGCAGCCAGAGGCTCGAGCCACCACTTTTACCCAGGTTACCCAAGCAAATTGTGCATATATAAATATGATCAGTGTCTAAATGACTTTGGACTGGCCTGCATGTTACTCAGCTACGTTCCTTGCCCATCCATTGGCAGTAAATAAAAACATGCACAGCTGCTCCTAGGCTGGGTCATATAAAGCACGGTCAGGCAAGTCTGACAACTGGAACTTTTTTTTTAAGGAAAAATTCTTTATGTAGATTTTAATAGAAATTATGCTCATTGAAAAGTGAAAGTGCATGCCTTTATGGATTAGTTAACTTCCACTTAGTGTTACAAGTTTGCTAAGAGCCCAAAAGAGGATTGTAGGTGCGCTTCACTTTGAAACACACGGAAGCAACGCTGTTCGCTGCCTCTTTGTTTTTGTCTTCTGTTTTTTAAACATAGCCCCAATGGCTGTACTTTGTGGATTATAGTTTGTTTAGTGCCACACTGAGTTTTTCTGAAGGGTAATCTGCAAATTAAAGCAATCCACCGTTCACGTGCAAACTTCCTAAAGGATGTTTCAATGTGATAATAATGTAAATGAATTGGAGTGTTTGCATTTTGCTGCCAGCAAATTTTGATCTGCTTCATTTTAAGGAAAAGGGCAATGCTTTATTTAGAAACTGACCAAAAGTATTTCACATTTAAAATGATACCCTTGGAAATTCTCTTTACATTTATTTTTAAATTTCTTAGACTGAGAGACAAGGAAATATAAAAAAGAGGCTTCTTTTTATCTTTATAAGGCAAGCTCATTCAGAAAATAGCTCTCAAGTCCCTCTTCCTCAGGTTGTTAACTCCTCTGTCTGTTGTAATGTTATTCTCCCTGCCGTCTCTGTATCACCAATGAAACTTTGTCCATGACACAGTATTAAATGTATCATGCTCTATAACCCTTTCACAGGAAGATCATAGTGATAATACCAGAGTGTAACTGTATTAGTTACTTTTCTGTTGCTGCGATAAAACACCATGACCAAGGGAACTTATAAAAGAAAGGGTTTATTTAGCTTATGGTTCCAAAGGGGCAAGAGTGAGTCCATCATGGCGGGGAGGCATGGCAGCAGAGGTGACTAGAGTAGGAGCAGAAACTAAGCTCTTAGATCTTCAAGCAGGCACAGTAAGCAGTGCGTAACTGGCAATCTGGCAAGACTTAAGAACTCTCTAAGCCCACCCCCAGGTGACAGGCTTCTTCCAACATGGGCAGATCTTCTACAACCTCCCAAAACAGCACCACCAACTGGGAACAAAAATGTTCAACTACTTGGAGCCTATGGGGGACAATTCTCATTCAAACCACCACAGTTAACTATTTTGTGAGCTCTATTTAGTGACGTTTTCATGATCTAATATTGAATTCACAGCTTTGTGCACATTTCTGTACAAGTGTTAATAAGATACTCAGATTTAGCTTCCTTTCCTGCCATTAAAACTGTAAAATAACTCATAATAAAAGCATTCTTGGTTTTTAGAAAGGAAGAAATATCCTATCATTATTAAAACATTCTTTTGTACTTTGAAGGAAAATATCATCACTGGAACTCCAAATTTATGAAAGATAAAGACTTACCTATTAGAAGAATGTCATATAAAAATTTGTTATGTAACTGCTCACAGTAGAGCAGTTAGATGCACAGGAACTATATGGAGAGTCCTCCCTATGATACAGTAATTCTTTGTTATCTTTGGGGCAATGACTTGCTTTTTCTAGTTTATTATGAAGAAGCAAGTTCCCTTTGTCTCTGAATATCCCATTTTCCAGTTCCTTTAGGGGAAGTTATATGAGAGAGAGTATCAGTCAAGTACAGAACCTTCTAAAGTGTTGAAGCAGTGTATCAGGAGTAAAGATGTTGGAACACAGACCATGCAAGGACTGATCTTACATTTCCCACCTTCCCAGCTTCTGTTTGAAGGACTTGTATCCTCCCTTAGGAAATATGGCCCAATCCTTAAAAGAACATACTAAATTCCAACATAAAGAACCCAAGGGATCAAAAATGTGGGGGGGAACTTCAGGAAACATTGGGGCAGAACTTGTTCAGGATTTTTTATCATAAAATGAGTAGTCTGCCTGAAGAAGGTTTGCAGTGGGACAGTGATAAAGCAAGAGAAACATTCTAAATATTTTAATAGTGAACCCCAATGGGCCAGACACATTGGTGGATCTGATGAGAGTAGTCCACTACAACATAAATGCTCTGTTTGCTACTCCAGGGAAGATAACTCAAGGTCCTGTTATCTATGGTTTAAAAGTTTTGATAGCATATCCAACATGAACAATAAAATAATTTTTCTGGATAAATTGGCATAATGAACATGATATTTTTGGTTTTTTCAGCTTCCTGAATACCAAAAATTCCTGTTTAGTATAAGTTTATCACTGTGGCCATAAGCCCAGGCCGAACAAGTAAGACCAGCACTTTCACTGTTGCAGTGTTGGCATTTTTTGAAATCCTAGTTTTTTATATTAAACTGTATTAGAACATATTTTTCTCCAAATTTTACAGTATTTACTAATTATGTTTTCTTTAAAATATAGCGTAACTTAATGAGAAACAAGTGCATTTGAGAAACAATATGAAATTAAGTTTTCTCAACTTTTATTCAATCAGATGTGATTTAATTATTTTAAAAATTATTTATGTCATTGACTTTCTGGTGTGATGTACTAGTGTTTAGTAATAATTTATGACTGATGTGAAAATAAAAGTTGGAAATACAGTATTTAAAAGTCAGGATGTGATAGTTAAGGCTGGGGCAATGGCTCCATCAGTGAAATGCCTGCTGCAAAAGGACCTGAATTTTGATTCCTAGAACCCTAATAAAAGCTAGGTACAACAGTGACTCTCTATAACCGAGTGTGAGGTAGTGGTAGGAAGTTCCCTGGGGCTTTCTGATCAGCCAGCCTAGCCAAATCAATGAGTTCTAGGGTTAGTAAAAGACCCCATCTCAAAATCATAAGGTACAGAACAATAAAGGAAGACACACAGCATCAACCTCTGGCCTTTATATGTACATGCGCACACATGCACATGCATCTGCATGCAGCACATACCCATATGAACATGTACATACACCATACACAAAAAGCATGAATTGCCGTATTTTGATATTTATTAGATAATTAAGCAAAATTTAATTTCTCCTTGCTCAACTTTCACTGTTATAAATAGCTGCTCAGCACTTGGAAGGATCTTGATAGATCATCAATATGAAGAGTTCCTAAAATGAGATTTTTACCAAAATATGCTTCATATTTCTGAGTCTAAGTGATCATTGGTGTTTTTAACAGCAGCTATAATTGGCTACTCCTATATAATCTTTTCACTATTCCAACATTGTAATATACCCATATTTTGTTAAGGTTTAGCTAGGCAAAGGCTACTTCAACAATATCAGTCTGCCTACTCATTTCTTAATAAGTTAGATATAGGTAGTAATAAGGAAACCTAAATATTTAAATGCTGCCAAAGGAAGGTAAAAAACACATTAAACTGGGTCTACTTGTAACTCGTTCGTATTCTGTCTTACTTTTTAGCACTTTGCAGTATGTAATGGCCAGCTCAGTACTTATTTAAGATCATAGAGTCTAACCATTACTTACAATGACATACATTTGACAGTTCTAAATGGCAAATTTGCGCTGTGGTTAGGAGCACATCTGAATCTGAAGATTTTTATATTCTTTACTTAATTCATTTTATTTTTATGGTATTTTTATATATTTTAACTGTTTTAATCAACATACTTTACTAACATGATGATATTCACCTCTTATACAACTTAAGTCACTAAATCAGTGTTTTAAAAGGTTTTGAAAAAAAAGAAATGGTTTTGTGGGGGTCGGGGATTTAGCTCAGCGGTAGAGCACTTGCCTAGCAAGCACAAGGCCCTGGGTTCAGTCCTCAGCTCTGGAAAAAAAAAGAAAAAAAAAAACAAGGCAAAAAAGGTTTTGTTGGGGCTGGAGAGATGACTCAGAAGAGCACTGGCTGCTCTTGCAAAGGACGCAGATTGAATTCCAGCACCCACATGGAGGCTAAAAAACATTCGTAACTCCAGTTCCAGGGGATTCAAGACCCTCTTCTCTCCTCCGCAGGCATTGCATGACACAGGGGCAGTTACATACACACAGGCATGGCACTCATACACATAAAATAAAAATAAATACTTTTTTGAATTTTTTTAAAAAGGTTTTGTTAATCAGAATCTTTTAGTCTATACTCAGGACTATGATTTAAAGTAAGAGTCTTATTCATGAGATATTCCAATGTATATTTATCTCTTAATATATTAATACATATAGGAATTATGGAAATGACTTGAGTTATTAAAGTTTGTGGTTATGAAACATGGAAATAGGCATAAATAGTATCTTGAACCCGTAATATTTAATCACTTATCTCATCTACTAAATGTTTCAAATTGATTTAGGTTAAGTTTACCTGTGAATCATCCAAGAAATTCCCTAGAGGCCCCCAGAAGAGTAGGATAGGGTACAGAAAACTGAGCCTAGCCATTCATTAACTATGACATTGACACAGTGAGTAACCCACTGTACAGCTGGTGTGATGCTGTATTGTGCAGCTTTGATTCTTTGCTGTTGTAAATTAAACACCACAAGTGTTAGAATGTGCAGACATGGGGGAGGATACCATACTGTTACTCTTCAGAGAAAATGAGGAAGGAAGATATTGCAGCTGCTTCTTAAGGAAGTCCCTTTCACTCTGGAAAAGTAGATCCATTGTAAATTGAGAAGAAAAAGGGAAAATAATGTAAAGATGAGTTAGTAGTAGTTTTCCTTATAGTTGGTCTCATAAACCCCTCTTAATTCTGAATTATTTGCAGCCTGGTTTTAAGATCACATACCTAATTTTAAGAATTGTTGATCATAACTTAAACATATCAAATTCTTCAAGGAATTTTGTTATTCTGCAATAAGGAGCGAATATAACTTGTATTCCTTTCAATTCATCTTATGTTTCATTGATGGTTAAAATGGATAACAAACCACAAAAAGACTTATGAGCAATTCAGGATGCCTGTGTCAGAGAAAAGATGGAATGGAAAAATTAGGATTAGATATCTTTTAGGGAAACTTCATGGAAGAGATGAAATACCATAGTTATAAACTAGCAAAGAACAGAAAAGATAGTGGTGACACGGGTCTTCCTGATATCACTTGAAGTACTAACAAGCCCAGATCCTTGACAGCAGGAATAATAGTTGATGTTGCAGAGTTCCTGTGGAAACTTCTGAAGATTTTGAACCCACATTTCTCACAACGTTTTATGTGATGACTGCTCCCACTCATTCAGTACCAGCTTTCACTCTGTATGAATCTATTTACCCATCCCACCATTCATTTCTAAGCAATAGTTACTGATTTCCTACTACATACTTAGTGCTGATTGTATTCATTTTTCTTCCTATTTCTGTGACAAAATACTTAACAAAGGCAGCTTAAGAAAGGAATGGTTTATTTCCATTCACAGTTTGAGAACCCAGTCCATCATGACAAGGAATGCATGGAAGCAGGAGCATGAAGCAACATGTCAGTTTTATCCACAATCAGGAAGCAGAGAACAATAATTCTCAGCTCATTTTCTTTTTTATTTAGTCCAGGCCCCAGCCCGCAGATTAGCCCTGGCCACATTTACAGTGGATCTTCCTACCTCAAGTAACTTGGTCTAGAAACTCCCTCACACATGTGCTCAGAGGTTTGTCACCCAGGTCATCCTGCGTCTTGTCATGTTGATGAGTAATTAAACATCACCTTGATAGTCATTAACCAGTGCTAGCCTGAGCCCATGGACAGGGACAGCAACCTATGTTTTTGCTTCAGGTGCCCCAGTCCATGTCTCCAGTGTGATTTTCATTATTAAAATAAATACTTTCTGTTCTTATTGTTTGCTGTGTACAGTTAGATCAGTTATGAGTGAGCTTCAATTTGTCTGATTATCTATACTGTATTTGAACATCCTCTAAACATCCAGGCTGTATTATCAGGCTTCTCAGCTATAACAACTCGATGTGATTTAGACAGACTGAAAAGAGAGAATGTTTTAGGAGTTAATTGTGTGTAGACAAACCCAAATATACTTATGTAAGAAAAGTCTAAACTTGAAGAAAGTATATGAAATTAGAAAAAGCCTAAATACTGAATATTTGTAACAAATCTTATTTTGTTGTTTTTCACTAAAGAACAAAATACATTCAGAGTTTAATGGTGAAAATATTATTGTCCATACAATATTGTCACAATGTATCCAATGAGTAGAAGATTAACCATCTTCAAGTTCTTTATAGCTTTTGACTTTTTTGGACATATTTCAAAATAATCATAAAACTAATTCTCAGAAGGCAGGAGTCTCTTTTCTGCATCTATTACTCATACTATTGAATTAGTTAAGACATATTAATACTGTATATGACATACATAATTTTTCCTACATATAAACTCAAAATATGCTGTCAATACCTAATAAAAATACAATTATTTTCATAAAATTAAAGAACCATCTTGCTAGGGAAAAATCCATATAACTTATCTAAAATATGGGTAGCAGCTTTCCAACACTGACCCTAGCATCCCTTTATTCCCAACGTTATATATTTCAGTGTTCATTTTATCATGTGCTTACCTCATCCTCTTGATAAAGTAGCTCTTTTCAGCTCAGCCATCTAATGTTATGCACTAATGGTAATAACATTGTAACAGGTTCGAGAATGCTGTGGCCCAAACTACTCTGGTTCCATGTGGCACTCACACCTGGCCCTGTACCATTCCTTCAGCATTTTAATATCATGTTTAAGACTGGGATCCCATCCTTTATGCTGATCCCAAGAATAGACTGACCTGGCTAAAGTTTATGCATGCCAAGATTTAAGACACCTTCTTCCTACTGTAGTTTCCTTTTATAGTAATTTTGATATTTAATTTAACCCGAAGGAAACAAATCAACACTCAAAGATCCATTTCAGCCATCCCTAACAGGACAGGTAAGAGTGCCAGAGTAACAAGTAGTTTCCAAATGCACAATAAAACCTAGGAGTGCATTGGCCAAAGAGAATGCAAAGTATCTGCTCTTGCTGTGTAGCTAACAATGTGCTGCTATTTTCAGAAATAGAAAATTATAGAATTTATTTCATAATAACCAGTAGTATTCGTTTTCATGTCAATGAAAAGTGGATAAATTTAGATTGTTGCTGTTTATGTGCATTTGATCAAACCTTTTCTACATTTGACATGAAAATAAACTCGTGCAGCTTTTGTTGGTTGGGTCACAATTTTAGAATAAATCAAGCTATATCATTTACAAATAAATTTAACAAAGCAAGATCACAGGTGACGGTGTGACTGGCAGCTTGCATAAGCTTTCCATAGGATCTTATTTCAGTAACCCTACATATGGGCTAAAACAAAAGTTATTTAAGTTGTAAGCATCATGTTCAAAGCAAAAAACAATTATTCTCTAGTGCTGTGTCTAATCTTGTGACCCCCCCACCTCTCCCAAAGCAGATTGGCATTAGACTTAAGTTATTCTTAAATTACAGATCAAGAAAATGCATACAGAAGACTGGGGGCACGCTTATGCTTTTTCTGTTAAAATCAGATAAAGTATTTGAAAAGCTTTTATGTGGGGTTGATTTTCAGAAATTAAATGCAACTAGTTCATCCGAAGGCAGTACAGTGGATATAGGGGCTCCGGCAGAGGGAGAGCAACCCGAGGCAGAACCCGAAGAATCCCTTGAACCTGAAGCCTGCTTCACAGAAGGTAAGTAAGCAGTAGGGCAGGCCAGTAGCCCTCGCTTGTCTATTCATACTTCCTGTCATCTGCCTGGCTGGCTGACTGGCTGTCAAGCTATCTACCATCTATCTTTCTTTAATCACCTATGGCCATCTATCCAACAAATATCCATTTATTTGCTTTTGGGGCTCTTTTAAATCACAAAATGCAGGCAATTTTTCTATGTATCAAGTTTAGTCTATGTAATTAGATCTTTTCCATTTTGAAGATCCTGGTCAACTCTAAAACTTGCTACTAGTTGGCTTTTCTGACCTTCTAAATTATGTAGCAGGAGAGATGGCCAAATCACATAAATCTCTGAGTTTAAAAAAAAAAAGAAACTGAAACAAAGTAAAGAAGTAATCTGTCATTTAATTTACTGAGTGGTCATAATCAAGAGAGTAGTAATCAATGAATGTACATTTCAATATGACCTTGAATAGTTTCCTGTATCATTGAAGGTCAAATATTTTTGTTATCGTTGAACAAAGATGAAAGATAGTAAAAAAAAACTGAAATGCAAGCACGTTAGCAATGCATCATTAGCATACTCTCAAAAGAACTCTAAAGAACGCTAAAATTATGTCATTTCAGAAGGCTGTTATGTGCTATGAGAATAATACTGTGCATCAAACTGCATGAAACCTTGACTCTAAGATGCTTCCCTGGGCCTGACTGATAATTCCTTCTGTGCAACTCTCAGATTCTCCTGTCATTGTTTTGCTTGTATTTGTCTTAGTTCTTATAATTTCATGTGACAGTTATGACTCCTAAACATCCTCCAAGATCTCATCCCAGATCCATTCCATTCCATAAAGTTCAGAAACTAAACTTTACTGATGAACCTTTATAACACTTTGCTTTGGGGTAATTGTTTTCTCTAACTATAAAAGGTGTAGGAAAATCACTCCTATTTAAAACACGCATATCCCAAGTGCAAGCTGTTTTATATATTATAGTCCTATAATTTTCCCCAGCATATTTTGAATACAAGGGCTCTTCGGTAATATTTATTGAAAAGCAAAGGCAGGCTGGAGTGATGGCTCAATGGTTAAGAGCACAGACTGCTCTTGCAGACCTGGGTTTGATTCCCAGGACACACATGGCAACTAAAAAACATCCATAACTCCAGTTGCAAGGGATCCAACACCTTCTTCTGACCTCCACAGACATTGCATGACACGGTGCATGTGCAGGTGATACACTCATACATATAAAATAAAAATAATAAAAAAATCTTTATTTAAAAGAGGTTTTCAATGGAACTAGTCCCCTACAAATTACACAAAGGTATTTATTGCATTATTGTTGATAATTGTCAGAAATAAAGTAACCTACATATTCAATAATAGTGAATATTTTTTAAATTCTGGTAATCTTATTTAGAGAAATATAATGAGATCTCTCATAAACATATTTACTTCTGGTAAGATAGGAAATGTTTATATCATTGAGCAAACTAATCAGAATTCAAATATGTAATTTCTATACAGAGTAGACATACTCGTGGTGTAGGGGCAAAATGGCAAGATGAACTTCTGCCTTGATTTCTTTCTGGTTTTCTATATTTGTATGTGTTTTAATATATGATAATATAGTCACATGCACATAGAAATACATGTTTATTGAACAAATGATTAAAAGGCTTTGTTGTTGGTTTTGATTTCTGTAAGTAGAAGCCATCTTTAAAGTAAAGTTGTTTATAATACACTACAAGGTAGTAACATTTCCAAATGTCCTGTCATCACAATGATACAAGAGTAATGGAATAATTATGTTTTCTTCATTGAAACCCATGTGTTTCAGACTGTGTGCGGAAGTTCAAATGTTGTCAGATAAGCATAGAGGAAGGCAAAGGCAAACTCTGGTGGAACTTGAGGAAAACATGCTATAAGATAGTGGAGCACAACTGGTTTGAAACTTTCATCGTCTTCATGATCCTGCTCAGCAGTGGCGCTCTGGTAGGTGATACAGGGTCTGATCCTTCATCTTTTACCCCTTTCTCTCCGATGAACCTCATTTTGCCCATTTGTAAAATAAACTGCTTGTGAAAGTGAAAGAGAATCTGTGTGATATGTTTAGACCTGTGAACGAGGGCATTAAGGAGCAGCTTCTACCTGGAGTTGTCAGAATCAAGCTCAGATAGTGTGGTTTCTTGTAATATTTAAAGAACACCTTTGACTTTCAGTCATGGATGGCAGTTCTTACTAAGGATGGCCTCATAGATGTGATAGGGGTTATCAGTTGAACACTGGGCTGATTTGCTACAGGAACTTACCTGTCATCTTCATACTGAGTCCTTACTGCCAGTCACAGTAAGTGGGGAGCAGTAAGCTAACTTAATTTCTGGAAGCATTACAAATCTAGTTTCATTTAATGGGATGGAATTTAATTGAATATTCAGTAATAAACTGAAAATGGAGTGACCCATTTTCCCATTTGGTGATAACAGTACTTGCATTTCTTTTATGTTTAATTGATTACTCAAGTGTTTGTGAGTAGATTTCATTAGAAGGATAACTCCTCTAAGCCCACTTCTGATTTGACTATGAATCCTTCATCCTTCCATCTACTCAGTTCAGAATGACCTTGCTAAACTAGCTCTTGGTTCCTCAGTACACCTAGTCACAGCTCACCAGTGCACATGAACATGCCCACATAGGGGTTGGCTTCTGGGGGGCTTCTAGCTTCAGCTCCACACTGAGCTCAAAAGCCTATAGGCCTTTATGCTGAGCCCTAGTCATAAACCCAGATCTCCTCATTCTCTAGAAGAGAGAGATTTCTTTGTTCCTTGATCCAGGCCACTATGCCACTCTTATTTTGTCCTATAAAAGGAATGAGTAAAATGGTCTTTGATTCTTAAAGATTTGGAGCCCTTGCAAAGTGAGTACCTCATCTTTTCCCAAAAGCTACAGAATGATAGCAACTTCCAGACACACCTCAACTGCTGGCAAAAGTGAGAGAGGAAGAGCTTCTCCAGGGGTCCCAGGCCCAGGAGACTTGACTTCAATATCTACATTTTTGGGAAGGAGAATGTCTGTGACTCTGGACTCTGAGCTGAGAAAAGTGAAAATACTTCTGAGCCACTCTTCACCTCTTGACTAATTTAGAAGGAAACATTTGGCAGTCTCTCACAAATTTTAAGCTCCTTTGGGATATTCTAATATCCATATTTTAAAATTATTTGACTTTCTCAATAGACTGAGATGCCCAGGCACTTTTCACATGTGTGATAAACGTGACACCAACACAGCGTGAGGCTCGCTAACCCTCCTGGCATTATGCCTCTCATCAGAGGCTTACATCATATTTTTTTCTAACACATAAATTAGAAACTATTTATGACCATGAAATTCAATACCATTTCTTTTTCACATACAGGCCTTTGAAGACATATATATTGAACAACGAAAGACCATTAAGACCATGTTGGAATATGCTGACAAAGTTTTCACTTATATTTTCATCCTGGAAATGCTTCTCAAGTGGGTTGCATATGGCTTCCAAATGTATTTTACCAATGCCTGGTGCTGGCTAGACTTCCTGATTGTTGATGTGAGTATTCTTCAGTTTTCTGTTCTGTTCCTTGGCAGGTGTTAGGTACTGGCTCTGGCCACAGGGGCTGGCATATAGCAGGCACTCAGCAGACACTGTCAGTTCAAATACGTATGGTATTTTCTACTTCCTCAGTGAAAAGGACCCAAAACATTTCTGTCAATTTAAATGCCACTTAATATTTAATAATTTAGTTGAAAATTAATATTCAAATTAGCATTTTAAATTTCAAGTTCTACAAAATCAGGGTTTTTTTTTTGTTTTTGTTTTTTGTTTGGTCTTTTGGACATAGGGTCTCCCTGTAGCCCCAGATGGACTGAAACTCACTATATAGACCAGACTGGCCTTGAATTCAGAGATCCACCTGCCTCTGCTTCCTGAGTACTGGGATTAGAGGTGTGCACCCCCACACCTGGCTAAAATAAGATTATTTTTAAATTTTTGTTTTTTAATTCACACATTTCATAAAATTAATCTTTTAATTCATCATAAGAATCCTTGGTAAGAATGGCTTTGTCAGCACTAAAGCCTGTTCTATTTGTCACACACATGGACTATTAACTACATGTGAATTTGAAAGTCCAAAAATCAGCAGACACTACTGGATTTATATGATGGTTAAAAACAGATTGGCTAATAACCAAACATTTAAGAAATTATTAAGTTATATTGATGCTAAAATAAAGTAAGATAGAATACCAGAATATGAAAGTATTAAAAATAATAAAATATGTGTCCGGGAGTGGTG